AAGCTATGTAGCCTCTTTGAACTTCATATTTATTATCTGACATGTGAAGGTTAACATATATCTCTTAGTGATTGTGAGAATTTAAAATGAGATAACATGAGATAAAATGAGATAAATGATACAGATACAGCGGTGTCTGCACTGTTGTCAACACAATGCCTAGCATGGAGGAGGAACACAGCCAATATTAGGTCCTGTCTCTCTTCCCTCTCTACTGACTTAGATGAAACAAACAGAAAACAACCAGTTGGGCACTTTTGTAAAGAGATTTTTCAAAAATAAAGTTTAAAACAAGATGATTACACTTGGTAATGCTCATTTTAATCCAAGCTTTTATTTCACTAAAAACTCTATTTCCCAACATTACCTATTACTGGAGAGTCTATTGAACTACCTTAATTAATCCTCAAAGAATTATTATAAGGTAAATAGGTAGCAAAATACTATCTTTTTAAACTAAATCCATGTATCCTACATGAGTGTCCAATCTTCCTCTCCATTTATTTCTCTCATAGTGCAAGATACTATGGATTCATAGAGGGGAACGAGGCAATTAAACTTGAAAACTGCCGTTTCCAAGCAGTAATTTATTATGAATATGTCTTTCAGGGATGTTAAGTTTATTCTCATTTTTATATGCCTGGAAGGCAGAGTTTGAGAAAAATCAACAAATGCATGCATCATATACCTGGCATTAGTACTATTATAAATTCTGCCAAAGAGAAATTTTGTATGATAATGGTACAAATTCTATGAGGGTTATGTTCTATCATTCAACTGCCTTTGTTGCCAATTACCTTAAAGTTTTACTAACCCATTTTGAACGCTTGAGGAGAGGGATGGGAACTAAGGTTGCCTTGTACAGATTGATTTCTTGGCTGCTATAGTGTGCCTAGTGGGCTGTTTTAGGCAACTGCTCATGTATTTGAAGGGTTTCTAGACTACAGCTTGTTCTAGTCCTTTGTTGCTAACTATGTAGGCAATGATTGCAAAAAAACCAAAAGTTTCACTATTTCTCAACCTCATACAAAGTGCAATCTTGCTAAAGTTACACTATGTGGTAGAGTTTGGGGATTGGAGAAAAAGAATAATTGGCTGATTTAGTGAAGAACATGAAATTGAGCCAAAGCAACCTAAGGCAGAATTATGTTCCTCAATTTAATTGCTCCAAGACTGAGATGCAGAGACTTTATCCAATACCAAATGTATTGTGACTTAATGTGTTTTTTCTTTCTCTGAGTTTGAGAAAACAACATTTATATATTGCTAGGCACTCTCCTCTAATTTAAGACATTCCTACTCACATGCATTCAGGACTATTAAACTATCTTTCCGCCATAATTTCATTTGGATTGAAAAGCCATAATCTTGCTTTAAAAAAAAAATAGATTTGTTCTATCAAAGTAAATGAGAATTTCTGTAAGGTGATATCTATCTTTCAATATAGTGCTGTGAAATAAAACTGGTCTCTGGAAGTAGAACTCATGGATTCAGATTCTACTTCCACTATACGCTATGAGAATCTTGGGCTTAATTTCTCTCAAACAATTTTGACCATCATGTACTATTACCCCCATTTAAATGATAGGAAAAATAAAATCTAGGGTTTCCAAACTATGGTTTTCAATTTATTATGTTGTATGCAATATTTATTGCATATGGTTTGGAAGAAAAAAATAATGGAGTTTAGTCTTTATCCTCCACCATGCTTAGGGCAGGGCCTGCCTTGAGTAGGCACGAGGTCCCTTGTCCTGAACCACTGAAAATTGTTTTGACTTTGGATCACTCTGAAGTAGTCACATCTGAGTTTGTACTGAATCCTTCATAATACAAATATAAATGGATAATTAAAAGCTTTTATTTGAAGAATTCCAAATAATACTGATTTACTAGTTTGGTTTAATAAGATGCCAAAAATTAGTATCCTGAAGTTAAAATACCATGTAGATATAATAACATGCCCAAGTCTTCTTGCCACAGAAGTTAACAATACCTAATATTCAAAGCCATTTGATCAGCTTCTAATAAACTAAACCAATTGTTATTGCCTTTGTGCATATTTCTTTAACTAGAATTCATTAACTCTTCTCCTAAAAATTCCCTCTTAGGAATTACAGTTTAGTATAGATTTCTTGGAAAAGAAGAAATACTAGGGCAAAAATTAGGGAATGAAATTCAAAGTAGTACTCAACTCAAAGAACATTAGTTTTAAGAATGTAGGATCATTTTTTAAAAACTGGCATCTGGCAAATTTCTGTAACAGCTCATGTTTTAGTCAATGGTTTTGTCAGAAATGTAATTATATATGTATACATAATAAAATGAGAGAGAAGACTAGGTAAAAATACAATTTGACAAAATCCTAAAACTCGCTACCCTTGCATTATATTTATATTTCTATTTTCTATATTAGTTTCAATATGAGAAACTGCTTTCTTTATGGACCAAGTCAGCTGAAGATTGTTGATGAGATAGAGTCTTGAGAGAAAGCAAAACCTAAACAAGGGTACCTAATATTTCCACCTTGAAATCAAAATACTTCAAACTAGAATCATTTTCTAATCCCACTATCTGTTCCTCTTATAGTCACTATCGTGTCTAGTGACCATAAGTAAGTCAAGTGGCCACTCCTGTAATTCACCTGCCCACTCCTTAGCACTCTCTTCTTCACCTACCCTGATCTAGGTCAGGAGTGTATCAGTTCTACCTATAAAGCAGCAATTGAGTCCATGTCCCATCTCCTATGCAAGTGTGAGTTCTAGTTCTCATCAACTTTCACCTGGACCATTGAGACAGCTTCTCAACTGATCACCTCTTTCCAAGTGATTCTCCACAGGGTCCCCAAATTGCATTTATGAAAAATGTACTGGACATATTGCATATATGTATAAAAAGACTCAGTTCCATTGACTATTGAACAGTATTTCTACTATTTAAAAAGGTAAAAAGGTCCCCCAGGATCTGGCACCAAACTTCCTTCCTTCTATGGCTTTCACAAACATCCTGCCATCTGGGTAAGTCAGACTCATATGTTCTCCATATATTGATGTGTTTCTGACACATCACCAACTATATTCCATAAAGCTCTCCTCCTGGCGCAATTCTAGACATCCTTCAAAACCTAGTTTTAATATGACCTTTTCTTTGAGATATTTTAAATTCCTGCCTCAGAAGGAAACGAATTGCCTAATAATCTTTAATGTTCGATAGCACTACTTTTATATCTCTCTTCAAAAATAACTAATTAATGAACTGTCTCCCATTAAATTCCAAGCTCTGTGGGAATAGAGCTCTACCCCACTCATCCTTTTATCTCCATCTCTCAAAATTGCATGACACAAATACTCAGACAATAAATACTTGTGGAGTGAATAAATGATTATTAAAGAGATCAAAGGATCCCAAGTAGCGTCACTTGTTGGTGTGGTTTAGAGGTTCAATCTAGAGTTCAATATACAACGGACAGAGAGATGTGAAGCGTCAGGAAGTGAAGCTCCCATGAGAAACATTAAGACAGCCAAAATTAGATGTCTTCTTCGCAATATCCCAAAATGTAGTCTTTCAAAGGCTGAATATTTAGAATCCTATTAGCTACTGTTAAAATAAGACCCAGAATTTCAAGTATAATGCTCTTTAAAAATATTTTTTGTCAAATGTTTATGGAATATTATCAAATGTTATGCCTTTTTTTGGATTAGGGACTCAATGATTAAGGACTTTCTTAATCAATATCTCATATATCAACAATTGTGCATTTGAGTTTATTAAATGCTATTTTATCATTATTTTTATTATCTTAAATGGGTGTATTCTCTCTTTTCGGAATGACTCTGATCTTTGTTCTGTTCTATTTTAGATGTGAGATATTTCAAGAATTTCCCCATGGTTTATATCCATTTTAATTAGAGCTAGTTACAAAAGTTTAATTTAGTTGCATATATACTTGGCAACCCTGTCTTTAAATGTTTCTAATTAAGTATTATCTTAGTAGACCCATGCACTTTTATTTTCCCAGTTAATTTTATGTAGCATAAGGAGAAATTTCAGAATTTCATATTTTTCAATCCCAGCAGATGGCAGTACAGTGCTGGCTTTAAGATTAAGAAACTAACAAAAATGCTATTGATTTAAAGATTTCAAAACCTTAAACTATCATTCTTATTCTAGTCAGAGACAAAGATATTCAAATTTTCACATTGGTCTGAAAAATAAAAACATATTTTTTTCTTGTGGGCATATAAAAATATGTCTTATTTTTAGAATTGCACTTAAATTTTCCAAGTTAACTTGGAAGCAGAATGTGTTTCTTGGTGCCTACTTAAGTATGTGGAAGTGGATTAGGTGAAGGATAAGACAGGCTGAGAGGTACAAATTGATCAGGTCCCGATCAGAATGTCGTGTGGAACCTTGCAGGTTACATTTGCATCCTACCCTCTAAGAATCTCTGACCAAGGAACAAAGAGATATTGAACGGAAATAGCCGTTGGGTTTCTTCACTGCTCAATGTTGCAATATACCAGGAATTTTAAGTGTTTTGTCTTACTCTAAAACTGGCTTTTGTTGATAAATTTTATTTTGTAGAATGCAAACTTTGACTTAAGCCACATATTTCAAATAATAAGTTTATGAGTAAATAGCTACTAGATGCTACAGATGATGCAACAAATTTTTCACTGAATTGTCCCACATAACACAACACCACTGTGATGAGTAAATACTAAGGATTAAATGTCCAAAGTATCCAAACTATATTAATCACCAAGGTTAAAATCAACAAAGTAAACATTCTTATCTAACATCTATGAAAAAACATTTTTTTCAAAATTTAAAATTCTGCATTTTTACAAATGACTGATTCATCAAATGAAATAAATATTTATATTGGGAATTAAAGTATATACTTGTAAGTATCTCAACAACAAAAGAAAAACATAATAAATATTCAAACATTGTTCATCTCTCACCCATTGGCAATTAAATAATTTCAATTTTTTTTTAAGGAAATGTCTCAATAGAGTGCCTGCCTGGTTTAAGGCCTTGTGCTGATGCTCTAAAGTGTATAGCAATTGATTTATTTTGTGATGGAGAGTTAAACTGTCCAGATGGTTCTGATGAAGACAACAAAATTTGTGGTAAGTTCACCCCTCTACTTCTTTCCCCCATTCCTTTCCCTTCTCCCTCACTGTACACACACACACACAAACAAAAAACAAAAGAATCCCCTTAGATACCTGAAACTGGTGAAGAATGAGCTATTCCAATAGCAATTTTATAATCTAATATTAATACAAAATATTTTTAAATTGTATGAATATTTTCCTAAACTTTAAATATTAACATTAAACACATTAATTAAACAGTATTCCACTTGGTGACTATGGAAAGGATGCCGTGCTTAGCAATGTCTGTTATGAATGTAAGGAAAGAGTACAGTGTTTTTCATCCCTTCTCGATATTAAACTACTCCAAACTATTATGAATTTGATTTCTTACATATACATTCTCACTTCTTCCTAATGGTTTTTCATGTTTTTTTCACCATCATATCAGCCTTTTTTTTTTTTTTTTTTTGCTATTTCAACACCTAACTCAATGAGCAACATTTTAAAATTTTGATTGTTGCTTTTATCCACCTCTTGTAGTTCTGTGAATAATGGGGACCAGTTACAAATAAGAACTTAATGTCTCATGATTAAAACATCTGTGTTTTATTTGTATATTTTGGCATCTCTTTTGAATGCTAATAATAATGTTACTTTATTTTTATTATTGTTATTTGACACTTAAGCACTTACTATACACTGAGCATGGTTCTAAGTGAATTAAACATGTTTACTCTTTGACTTATTTCTTCAATTTGTAGTTGGGTTCCACTTAGAAAATGTCACTTGAAAGTAGCATCCAAATGGGTAATTTATTGTTGTGTGTAACATATCTAAGAATATTACCACATAGAACTAAAGTAGTCTCCCTCTTATCTGTGGTTGTCACAGTTCAGTTATATGTGATCAACTTAGGGCCAAAGATATTAAATAGAAAATCCCAGAAATAAACAACTCATAAGTTTTAAATTGCACATTGTTCTGAATATTGTTATGCTTGTTCTATCTTATTATTAGTTATTGCTGCTAATATCTTACTGTGCCTCATTTATAAGTTCAACTTTATTATAGGTATGTATGCATAGGAAAAAGTATATATAAGGTTCAATGGTATCCATGGTTTCAGGCATCCACTGAGGGTCTGGGCAGGTAACCCTGTTGATACAGGTGGACTACTCTTGAATTTGGGTAAGTCTAACCAATAGTTTGTCTTTGAAAAATTAAACAAAAAGCAATGAATTGCACATTTTTTGGTATGGTTAATAATCAGTTTTAACTGCATACAACTAGTTCCTGAAGTGTGTTAAAGATTAGTTACTATTTGCTACATTTTGCTTTTTCTATTATTTATTATACTTTTTTCATCTTCCTTGATATTAATTGAAGATGAATGTTCCAATAAGGACCAAAGTTTAAAAAATTACTTATCCACTTGGTACATACTTTAAAAGATAGACAGTTGGTCTGTTTCCCAGGACCAACTCAACAAAAGGCAAGTGTACTACAGAGATTTCCACTAAGCAATCCCAATTCAAATGTTCTTGGATAAAATTCAAACCTTTAAAGTTTAACTACATACTTTGAAGTGCACTCAGAACATATTGGAAGAAAGTGCAGGCTACAGAATATTTTTAATCTATTTTATATAACGAAGTTACTCAAAGAAGAAGAAAGCAACCTTTATTTTTTGCTGTGTTGTTCAGGCATTTTCCACAACCTTTTCAGGAAGAATATGATACAAGTCTGCCATCATGAGGTAGCAAAGGTGATGTTGATTTCTATTTCAAATATAACAGTGTATGTCAAGTTAGATGCATAGCTTTAAGCCTATATAATGATGATCAATAACCTTCAGTAGGTTATATAATAGTAATATATTAGATGAATCAAATTATATGACTAAATAATTAGTTATATAATTAGTAATATATTAGATGAATCAAATAATCAGAAAGTGCACCACACCTATTATTTGGTCCTTACCCTCATGAAGTTTATAATTTTCGTGTTAAATTAAAATAGTGTATATCAAAAAAAAAACCACAGGGGTATCATGGAAGTGTGATAATTTGTGCTAAAATAAGTTTTCAGGCCATGAATTATTTTTCTGAGCACTATAAACTCATCAGATCAGCCTCAGTGTTAGAACTGAATTAATTATCTAAATTCCTCCAAAGACATAATCAAACTACATTATTACTTCTCAGTATCATGATGGTTTTGTTTTTGTTGAACCTTAATAACAACCAGCTTTCCATGTCACTAACTCGCTTAAGCAGATTTTCCATTTTCTTGTTTCTTTTATTTGTAGTTTAAAATCAGTATTATATCTATTTGGGTAGATAAATTTAAATCATTTTGGGGATAAGGTAATGGAAGAATCAATCATTTAATCTACCTTTATCCAGTGACAATTCAAAAGTCTACGCTTTCTTATCCATTATCATTGGATATCATTATCATTTTAACCATTGATAATGGTGAGCTCAAAATCCTAGTGGATTCCAGCATCAGCTCAAACTTCCAGCAGCATCATTTCCACCTGAAAGCTCTTTTCCATCAATGTGCATTCACAGAAAAATTCTTGAAATTAATTTAAGATAATTTTCTCTATATGAAATTAACCTTTGCTCTTGCTCTTATTTATTTTTTTTGCTCCAGCTGTGTGCTCTAATTCTAGTTTGTGTTATTAATAGAATCACATTAATGTTGACTTACGCAGCTTCCTCTTTTAGTCTTTAGTTATTTAGGTTGACACGACTTATAGCTGACTATAGCTGAACCAAGAGTTCTTTAAATTGTTTTTCTCTTCTGATTAGAATTGCATCAGCAAGAAAGTTCACTTTTCAGCTGACCTATGAGAAGGAAAGATGCTGACTCATAGCCCTTAGGCCAATGCTCAGGATTCTTTGGAAGTTGGCAAATGTCCTTACAGTTTGCATGCCTCATATGTATGTGCAAAGTAGACGCTGGTGGAGATCATGTTTGATCTATGTATCCTAGAGAATACCCTGAGCAAAACGACATTACTAAATGTTGAGCCAGCAGAGGGAGCTCTCAGCGGTTCCTAAGTGCATACTTTTACACATCCCATACAGCTGCAGGCAACATTTCTGACACTGTAATAGAATGGCTGATAGTATTTGATGAGCTAATTTATCGCCCCCTCAAAATATTTTTTCTGATGCTGCACTGAAGCAGTTGTGCAGCCTAAAAAGTCATAATCCTAAACACCCAGAAATTCTACTCATCTATGGGTTTATCACTTTTTTTTTTCTTGAAAGCCTGTCCTACTTCATCGTCATACCATAAAATTAGGTTCTCCAGAAACATTTTGAAATTAAATGAAAGAATATATAAGGAATACCTTTGTACAAGCCTATACCTAGAAATTATCTTTTAGCATTCTGAACTTTGTTAATAGAAGTAGTTCAATACTGTTGTAATTTTATTTTAAATTCCTCTTTGCTTATATGCAGGTATTTACCAAAGGCCATTTAGAGCAGAATTTGACATGCAGATTATCCACTCACACTAAAACTTAGAAACTTTATAGAAAATTAGACAGGCAAAATTATCACATTCTTTAGGACAGGCTAAGTATTATGATAAATAATCTTAGGAATTTATCACCTTTATCATAGTCCAAGAAAAATGACAAGGGGCTGCATCATCTTTGGCATTAAGGATGCCAACCAACCCCTTGTCGGCCAGACTCTCTGCCCCCAGAGTCCTCCACTGGATTCTTTACAACCTACTGACAGACAAGGGAATAATGTTACAGAAAATCCTTCTAGAAACCACATTTGGAAATAAACACAATCAGTTTCACCATAGTTTATTGGCCAACTCAGTCACATGACCTCATCTGACTACAAAGAATTTGGGGAAGTGTAGTTTTAGTTATATGCCTATGAAGGAACTACAACAGAGTTTATCAAACCAGAACTATCTTTGACACTGGAGACATAACTCAACTTTTTGTAAAAGTATGAATCCTGTTGAGGAACACAAATCTATTATTATTTTTCCCAAAAATCATGTAGTGAATGGATGTGAAGAATTGGTAAAATTTTACCAGCCTTGCAAATAGATTTTACAAATTCTTAGATTGGTCTTGTTTTGCTCCTTTTTTAATGCTATCCTTTTTTTTCTTTTTTGCTTCTTCCTGTTTGTTGTGGAATGCTATGGCAAATATAACTGTATTCTGCTTTTAAGAACAGTAGAAAAGGTGGAATTCTTTTTTTTAAATTTTCCTACTTCTTTCATTTATGCTTTCCACCTTGCTTTTCAGATTAAATAGTGGGTGATGTCATTATGATAGCTCTGTATATTATGATATTAGGCAATATAGCACAGAATGTTCTGGAATAAGACTGCCTGACTTTGTATTGTTGCTTATAAGGTAGAAGGCCTTATGCTAGCTACTTAACCCCTCTATGTCTCAGTTTCCCCATCAATAACTTCATAGGATTATTATGAAGATTATGTTGAATACATGTATAATGACTTTAAAACAATAGCAAGCACTTGCAAACACTCCATAAATATTAGCAACTTTATTTTAAGGCTGGCAGGATAGAATGGTCTACCTCATTGGTTCCAAAGTATGTTAATTTAAATATAAACTATCTAGAATAGCAGTGCACTTTACTGCGCTGCCTATAATCTTTTGTTGTTTCTTGGCAAATTGTTTCTTGGCAACATTGTGTCAATGTTGTTTCTTGGCAAATTGTGATTAAAAGGCTATCTATATGACATAAAATACAAGCAAACACTTTAATGGTCATTGAAGCTAAGGCATTAATTGTCTCATTTGTTTATCATGGTTTGCAGTGGGCATAGGGTTGAGGGTGAGAAAAGAGATTTACTTTTACAATTAGAAAATTATTTAGCACTGCATTAAAGTCACATATTTTACTATTTATCTTCAAATCATGACAAATTAGACTTAATTTTCCTTGTTTGCTGCCCTAATTATTATACATAAGGAGATTCAGTTCTCTCAACAAGCCACAATTTTCTCTATTTCCTTTCCTGTGGTCTTTGCCGGACTGTTCAGAATTTAATCTTTGCTTCTTGGGTTATCATCTTTTCTGTTATTAGTTTATTCTTTCTTTTCTTCCCTTTTTTATTTGATCTCCTGCTGGCAATCGGATTTTTATGTCATAAACAAATACAATTAATCTGTAGGCCATTGTTCTTAAAAAGACTTTGAATCTTAAAATTAACGTACCACAATAAATGTTTATGCTTTTAAAAAATATACCAAAAATAGCAAAACCAAATCAAAAACATGATATGTTTCCAAGATTTCTATGTGCAGTCTGATTTTTCAATTTATTTTTATTCATATAAAATATTTTATGTCATATAACAGCTTGTATTGTATAATTTGATAGAATTGCTGTATAATATTACAATGAGGTTTTTGATACCTCAGCATAGGATTAGTTTATTCTAGCATGCAGATTTCTAAGACAACAAATTAATTTTGATATATTTTATTGATTTTTCTACCTTCCATCAATGCTTCTGGCAAATGAGAAATCTACAATCTACAAAGAGAAAAAGAGCACTTTCTAGGAGTTGTAATTCTAGAATAGGATGTCAACAGAACTAAATAGCTAAGTATAAAAAATAATGTAATAAAACTAAAAATGCAAACATAAAAACTTAGCATATACTATACGTAGCAAGTGCACAAAGTAAACAAAAAAATTGTAAAGTACAGCTACTGGTTCATGCCTTTAAGAAGATTTTAATCTAGTTGGAAGTGATTCAGATATAAATTAAAGAGAACTAAAAATCCATGACATGAAGAAGAGGTTCATTAAATAAATATGTTACAAGAACTAAAAGAGATAAAAAAAAATTTTAAAAAGGAAAAAAGAATAACTAAAAGAGGAAAATAAACAGTCTTGGAAAGCAAAAGTTATAATCAGGAGTATTGGCTGAAATAATTGAGCTCGATAGTAAGTCTATCTAAAAGGAGCAAGAGTGATGAAGTTTAAAAGATGGGCAAAAAGATTAGATGGATGGAATTATCTAGCACTATCATGTGCCTGGCCTTATTCTAATGATTTTCAGGAAAACATAGCACTTTGTACATATATTTGAAATTCACCTAGTTCTAACTTAATGAGGAAAATAGAACAAAAAATTAGTTATTATATTCAGATATATATTTCTTTCCTTACAAATATGGAAGAATACACTTAAAATGCAGTTTAAGTATGAGTGTTTAGAAATAGAATGCTATTCTAAAGTATACACGATGGGATGTGTAAGAATATTTTAAAATAGCTAATAGATTTCAGAAACGAGATTTGATTAACTCCCATTTGGTCATTTCAGTTTTGTAAAATAACCTTGTACAGAGTCTGTCATGGGTGTTCTGTGAAATGTTTGTTAGCCAATTTGGATTCCAAGATTGTTTTGTGTAATATTAATTGTCATCTTTTTGCAGCCACCGCTTGTGATGGAAGATTTTTGTTGACTGGATCATCTGGGTCTTTCCAGGCTGCCCAATATCCAAAGCCTTCTAACCCCACTGTTTGCCAGTGGATCATACGGTAACATGTCATCTTCTATTTTCTGTTCTTACATCATAAAGTCTTTTTCTTATCACTTTTAGCAGTATTTTTTTTAACAATTATTGTTTTCATTAGCTGTAAAGCAACTGACAAACTGTTGAAAAAGATTCTCTCTTGTTCTTAACCTTTAAAAAAGATATTCTGTTCTATGAACAATACTGTCTAATAAATAAGGTCATCTCATTAGTCTCTGAAATAAGGTTCCCCCCACCCCCTGTGGTTAGCACAAATCATGTGCTGCCAAGACAAATAGCACACATGCATGCTGTGCATTGCAAGAAATGGAATTTCATATGACCGGCATCTGTCTGCAGAATAGTTCCTTTCTTAGTATCCCAGCAACTGTATGAAAATCTCCAATGGCATGATTTAGATACAGCAGATTAAGAGCGGGGAATATCCTCTCTCTATATAGAGAAGATATTTGGCTATATCCTCTTTTTTGCTATATCTTGAGTGACATTTGGTTAAGTTACTATGTATTTCACCTCCAAGCTCTTACTTCAATTGACCCATCCAATCATGATAATGATCAAAATAATAAGGCCACTGATAGCTGACCTATCTTAATGCTAAACTAAGCCTTTTTCATAGACAAAAAATACCTAAAGTTCCTTTTGGATATTCCAAAAAGAAAAAAAAGTTTTCAAATAAGCATCAGGGAAACAGAAATAAACTCATCAAAACTTGAAAAAAAAACCCAAAACTACAGGAGTTATCATAGTCTTAAGTATGCTAACATGTAATCTAAGTTTCCAGCAAACATTTCTGACTATATCCTCCACAAAGTGGGCAGAATAAGTGTTCCATGGAATTCCCTTTGAAAAATTATATTCTAGTTCATTTCTCTTAACAGCTGTATGAGATTATGGGTTCCCATCTGACCTACAGTATGATCATTTTAATCATTATCATGACTCACTGGGATTCAATATAATAGCTGATTAAAGAAGGGTAGAAGGCAGAGCCTCAGGTTCTGGCCAAACATCATAGGAAATGGGCCCATAAATAATCACAAGGGTTGTTTCCTCATGTAGACATATCCCAGAGAGAAGATATGAAGAAATAATTGTTTTACACACATTTACTTGTCATAAAGGCTCCTAGGGAGCTTCTCTTGCATTCATTCCTTAGTTTCACAGCTTGAAAATAACATCAGATTAAGAATAAATCATTATATTTTTGCTTAGAGACACCAAAACATTAATTGAAACCAGAAATCATCCCAGAAGGCTGCTTCATTTCTTCTGCTTCTGTCTTCTTCAGTTTTGAGTCTGGATTCACTATAGGTTGCACCAGCAGGCTCACTCTCAAATTTCTGCATCTATAGAGTTTATAAAACTGTCCTTGAACTGAGCTAACAGAGGCAGAACTTAAATAAACAACTACAACTATATCTTTGATTTGTTTCTCTATGTCTGGGCTGGAAAGTTCCACTGATCCCTCACCTTGGTCTCCTTGCTTCTCTGCCAACCCCCTGTGGTTTCTGAATACAACAAAGAGGAGCCTTGAGTGTACCATCCTGAATCTACCTATTTTAATCCAATGGCCCTCAAACCTAAGAGCTCATTGCGATCACTCTTGCAGTTTTTCAGAATAGGTAGCCCAGAATCTACTCCAGAACTGCTGAATCAGATATACTCAGAGCTGAAGTGCATATGTCAGTATTTTAAAAAAATAACCTATCACTGTTCTAAATTTACATCCCTAGAAGCAAACATTGGATACGTCCAAATATCTGGATTTCTGCTTAGAGGTCTTTAAGTCCCGCCCCTGTATTATAATAGCTGCCATTTCACTATCACAAATCCCACTACTGAAGACTAAATTCCAGCCCTGAACTCCAGCCTCATGACCAGAACTATAATATAGTCTATGCCAAACCTGGGTCTTGCCACAAATGACATTTCCCAACAATAACCTTTACACTCTCAAAAATTAACCAACTTTGTGAAAAATGTTCCCAATTGCCTGATTGGCCATGTTATTACTGATGGCATACCTAAAAATTAAGGTTGTCATGCCATTGGCCCATAGGCCTTGTTCACCCAGCATACTCCAAAGGGGGCCTCTGTTTGGCCTTGGAAACTAGATCACTAGCTTTTATCAGCCTTTTCATCCTCTCTCCTAGGTCCATCTGCGTGTAATTCATCCACCCTCATGCCCAAGCAAGCTTAAACATTATCATCTACACTTTTATTTTTCTTTCAGTCCTCTTCCCTTTTGAGGAGTTCAGAGGAACTTTCTACTTCCAAAGCACTCTGAAGAATTATTTACATTTCTGAATCTAATACTTCAATAAGACAGTGGAGTTGTAAATAGAGGTTTTCCTATGCTCTCTTTCCCTAAAACTGTTGTCTGAAAATGAAAATCCTATATTTAATTATCAAATTAAAGCTTTAGGATGAACCTGTCATACTTTTCCTCCTAGGCTCTTATCCTAGCAGCTAGATATTTTTTTAATATTAACAAGCATGTACTAGTTTTTACAAAGTATTGCATAATACAAGGATAAATAAATTAATCCCTGTCATTAAGTCATACAAAGTCTGGTAGGCAAGACAATGAAGTATGTAACTGACAATTGTAGAATACAATAGTTATCACATTGATGGTATGGACAATGTACATGGATTGGGAGACTCAATATTACTAAAATGCATATACTTCCCAAAGTAATGTACAGATTCAATTAGATTTCTATGAAAATATCTATGGCATTTTTTACAGACATGGAACCAAACAAAACCTGAATAGCCAAAACAATCTTTAAAAAGAAAAACAAAACTAGAGGCCTCACACTTCCTGATTTCAAAGCTTGTTATAAAGCTATAGCAATCAAAACAGTAATATATTGGCATAAAGACAAATACATAGACTAATAAACAGGATAGAAAGCCCAGAAATAAACCCATACACATACAGTCAAAAGATCTTCACCAGGGGTGTCAAAACAACACAATAGAGAAAGGATAATCTTTTCAACAAATGGTGTTGGGAAGATCTGAAATCTACATGTAAAAGACTGAAAGTGGACTCTTATCTTACACAATACACAAACTCAATTCAAAATGGACTAAACACTTAAATGCAAGACCTAAAACCATAAAACTCCAAGGAGAAAATAGTAAAGAAAAGCTTCTTTTTAAAATTATTTTGTTTAATATTATGTATATTTATTTTTAATTATTATGGGCATATCTGATGTTTTGATATAGGCATACAATGTGAATTAATCAAATCAGAGTAATTGGGGTATCCATCACCTCAAGCATTTAACATTTCTTTGTGTTAGGAAAATTCCAATACCAATTTTTTAGTTATTTTGAAATATATCCTAACTTATGGTTGTTTACAGTCACTTTATTGTGGTATAAAATACTGTTCATTCTATCTAATTAACTATATTTTTGCCCAAATTAACCATCCCCACTTCATCATGTTAAAGAATCAAGCTTCTAGGCAGCAAAGGAAACAGTCACAGAGTCTAAAAACAATCTACACAATAGGAGAAAATATTTGTAAATTGCATAACTGATAAGGGATTAATGTCCAAAATATTTAAAGAAATTCTACAACTCTGTAGTAAAGAAAAAGTCAGTAACCCAATTAAAATGGGAAATGGACTTTAGTCAACATTTATCTTAAAGACATAAAAATATTTGAAAAGATATTCAACATCACTATTCACCAAGGAAATACAAATGAAAATCATGATGAAATATCACCTCACACCCATTAGGATGGCCACTACCAACAAAAAAAAAACCAAAAAAATCCAGAAAATAACAAGTGTTGGCAAGAATGTGGAAAAATTAGAGCCCTTGTGCACTCTTTGTAGGAATGTAAAATTGTGCAGCCACTATGGAAACAGTATGCAGTTTCCTTAAGAAGTTAAAACTAGAATTACCATATAATCTAGCAATCCTAATTCTGGGTATTGATGTCAAAGAGATATCTGCACTTTCATGTTCATTTCAGCATTGTTCACAAAAGTCAAGAGGTGGAAAGAACCTGATTTCTATCAACAAATGAATTTGTAAAGGAAATGTGATATATACATAAAATAGAATATTATTTAGCCATAAAAAGAGGAAATTCTATACATGGTACAACATGGGTGAACATTGAGGGCATTATGCTCAGTGAAATAAACTGGTCACAGAAAGGTAAATACTGCTTGTCTTCACTTACAAGAAGCATCTAAAGTAGTCACAGCCATAGAAATGGAAGTAGAATAGTGGTTGCCAGGAGCTGGAAGGAATAGACAGTAGAGAGTTGTTTGATGGTTATAGAGTTTAAGTTCTAGATATCTGCTGTACAACATTGTGTTCATAGTTAATTATACTGTGCAATACACTTAAAAATTTGTTAAGAGGGTAGATATGTGATTTTTACCAGAAGAAGATAAAATACATACAAAGTCTAGAGTGCATTAAGAATTATGACAACCATTGAGTGACCATAATCTATTTTTTTGCTTTTAATGCAGTGTAAACCAAGGACTTTCCATTAAACTGAACTTCAATTTTCTTAATATGTATAATGCAGATTTATTAAATATTTATGAAGGTGTAGGATCAAGCAAAATTTTGAGAGGTAAGTTAAAACAAATATATAATCCACTATCAAAATGAAAATATATGGAGAACTTTTTGGAGTGATATGTTTTCTCTTTTATTTAGAACTAAATATGAACTTGAAATTTATATCACTGAAGGGGAAAAAAAGGAAAACTGTTCCTCATTATAAAAACTAGAAAATTAGTGCTCTATGTGATCTTCTTTATAACAAAATAGTTACTATTTCACACGGTCATTTTCTTAGCAATGTCTTAAAAATCATGTGAAGATTGCCAAAGAAATATAATTATATATTTGGTTACCATGTGTTGCTGAAATGTTACTGCCTGTTAAGCAAAATTCAGACAAGCCCTGAAAATTACTATTCTATTTTTCTCCAACATTGTGTAGGTTATAAACTCACAGAGTCTCAGTTCTTGTTTTCAGTGTGCACTTGGTTCCTCAGTCTCTTGAAGGACTAATACTAATAAAATGGGTAAAACAGTGTATAGCACAGGTTGTAGGCTCAGTAAATGGTAGGTGTCAATGATATTGTTATGACTAAACCATCTGTCGTTAATATATGGACACTAAAGGAAGCTGAGGAAAGGACAGGACACGCACTAAGAATATGTATCTGCCTACCCCACTTTGTTCAATCTGGCCCTAAAATGCGCAAAACTCTTCATGGTAGACAGTGAAAGTAGGGGCAAAATTCCAGGAAGAAATAAAATGAGGATGAGGAAGAAAATGTAGAAATGGAACCTAGGGAATAATTAGTTTATTCACACATTGGAGAAATAGTCAAGTGTTGAGCTAAGATGAGGTTGCAAGTGACACCTGTGATTAAAGTTTATTTACTAACGGCATTTATTTTAGTGTTTTTGCCTTGTGGGTAATGAAAATTCAGTTCTCTCTAATAAAAGTTTTGATTGATTTAATGATTTGAGAAATATTTAAGCAGGTGCTAATAATATTTAATTTGTTATTGGGTGCAACTGATAGGACACTATGCTGAGTGATTTATGTGGGTTGTCTCATTTAATATTTTCTACATACCTGCAAAGTATGTTTTAGAGTGAAATGAGCAAAGAATAAGATGAAGTGTATGATGTTCAATGGCCACATGTTCACAGAGCTAGGTAGTGTTGGAGACAGAAATCAAGCCCAAAATTCCCTTTCTTCAAACAGTGCAAAGATTCAATTATTCATTGTGCTTTGAAAACTCAAGTGCAAATATAATAATGAGTTATATATAAAATATATGAACTCATGGTAAGTCATAGGTAGTCTAAATAAATTTATCAAGCCTTTCATAAATCTATTTCAGTAGTTGATAAATGCAGTTCCTAAAAATTATGATCAACATAATATTTACATAGGTGGATAAATAAGCTAGTTCATATAAATATCTTCAAAGACTGATGTGGCATTAATACATTTTAACATACATTGATCACTTCCATGTGTAAAGCCACATTGTCAGCATTTTTTAACTTGAGAAAGGCTTCCTACAGAAATGTAGCTGCTATTGTAATCTCTACTGTATAAATGATAAAATCTAAATTCATAGAATGTAGTTGCCCAGTAAGTGGTAGATGTAAGTTATCCTCATGTTCCATTACTCTTCAAATAACATGATTTATCTAACCACTATTTTCACATGTTTAGACTATCAGTAATTCATAAATAAATCTTAGAATAATTAGTTATAATGGTATAAATATGCACAATTATCTTAACAATGTAATACAACTTAAAAATCCAAGTAGAAAAACATCTATGAATATGTATTTAAATGATGACAGGTACTTTCTTAATTTTAAGATCTTTGAAATAAAACTCCATTTTAAAATTTTGAAAATTAAATATTGAATTTTAACCTGAAAAATTGTGATAAAGAGTATTGGGTGTTAAATTTTAAAATTAGAAATAAATTTTTTTAAGAAAGGGAATAGTTTACCTCTAGCATCAAGCACAGTGTCTAGTATATTGCATAAACTCAATATTTGTTGATTTAAATTTATACTCACATGTTTATATCTCTCATAGCTTTTAAGTTGTTAATATTTTGTATTGAACTAATACCAATACTTTCATTCTCAATTCACAAGCCCATCTTTTCCTAGATGTTTTAGCAAGTTCCTTTATGTGACAGATGCTTATAAGATTTGCTTTCATTAAATTCCAGTTTAAAATATACATCTCAAATACTGTTATTGTTTTTATCATGTTGAAAATTTATAAATATTTCACTTAAATTAGGGGAAATAGGATTATCTACAGATACTATAAGGAAATAAAAGCATCCAGTACCATAAAATAATTGCCATATACTTGATTAGGGGTAAATCATCATAAGCAAATTTGAAAGGCATTTTTCAGTCATGAAAATGTTGTGATGTGACTCTAACTGGTAAAAACTGTCAAAGAAAGATAGTCATTACATAAAGAAAGATAATATAGAATGCAATGGAGTCTTCAAATAATTATAGAAATTGAAGCGAATCAGAATAAAATTTCAGGAAAGTTTGTTCAAAAATATTCTCTTTAAGTTTCAGTGATGAAAGTAGAATATTAAATTCAGTGGTGGTAGTAATTATCAATACTTGGAATGGAAAGGGTAGAAGATTGTGAGTAAGCTCCTTTAATGTTTTGTATAGGAAAATCTATAAATGTTTTTATGCACCTTCAAAAAAAGATAACAAAAATAGCCTGGGTTAGCACACTGATATTGGTTTTAAAATGCCTAATCCAGAAAAACATGTTTCTAAGTGTGTAGGTATTATACCATTTTTTATATTGCAAGTGCTTAGCTGGTATCCCATTTCCACAGGACTGCTGACTATATGTCCCTAATACTGGAGCTTAATGTTGTGTAATGCCATGCTTTTAAAACTGAAGCACACAAAAGTATGCATGGGTATAGCCAAAGCTTTATAACAGACATAGTGAGGTTTCCTGTTGTTGATTTATCCTAAAACAAAAATAATCATATTGTGGATATAAAATTAAATAACATATGCAAATATTTTTGAGGTAAATCATTCATAATGAACTTTGTGCTTTTATTAAGACACTTGTGTATACTCAGAAGTATCCATTCATTCACTTCTATTTATAGAGGTACATTACATGAAGAAGTTTAATAGGCACTAAAGAGTCACCACTTCCAGAAGTTCTCAAAGATTTCCTGATCATAATGCCTGGCAAAATTAAGGATTCCTTCCTCGGTACTCCAATAGCATTTCTCTGATATCTAATAATTCCATAGTTAATTTTTTTTATATCTTTTCAATCTGAATGTTTCTAATATAGGAACTTGGTTATTTTTTCTCCCTATCATTAGCACTTGGACCCATACCAAATTAATAGTGGACACTCAATAATGTATGTTGAATATATTTGAAATTCTTTATATCGTAAAGGTGATATACTAATGGCAGCGTTTATACTCTTATAAATCGGATAAAATAAATAGTTTTGAATTAGAGCTATTGAATCCTCCTCCTTAGAAAGTTGGTCATCCCTGTCCATTGCCCTCTTTCCAAACACCCCTGCACCTTTTTCATGCTTTCTGTTTTTCTCTTTCACAAAACCTATTCACCAGAGCCCTTGCTATTAGAAGACAAATGATAAGTTAATTCACATTTAAGTGTTACTGCTTGACAAGACTATGTAAGTTAATATGTATCCATAGAAGTATTGGAATATTAGTAGAAGACACTGAGTTTTCTTAAGGCATTACTATTTAAAAAAATATTTTATCAGCTATACTACAACATCAGGACAATTCCAGCTTTAAAAGTTAGTAGGTAATTGTTTTTTTTTTCTTTTGACACAGGCCCTATTTCTTTTAGGTATGCAAACCCTGTTACTCTGTTTACTCACATCTTTACATATGCACTCAAATATTGGTTAAAAGTCTCCTGTGCTCTGGCACAAATGACAGAGGCACAGAAACCATTGAGTCATAATCTCTGCCTTTTCATGGCTTACAACCTAGCTGGTGAGATAGAGAAACAATAACTAGCATTCACTGAGCAATTACTATATATCAGTCACTGCCTTGCATGGAAATTACTTATTTACTCCTTATCACAAATCTTTATGGAAAAAATTATAATACAACAGGGGAAACTGAGGCACAGAGAAGTCTAGGAAGACATGGAGCCAGGTCTAAATTGAATACTGACTCTGGAGCCTCTGCTCTTAACAACAACTCTCTTCTACCATCCTGGATGCATAAGATACATGGCTTTCACTGGATCTGTGATTCTGGGACTCTTTTTAGTCAAAGCCACTTGAAGAATCTGATGAAAGTTTTATAAAATCTCTACAGACACATATTCTACATCATTTCTGTAGGTTTGTGTGCATCTCTGAAGCAGATTAATGGACTTCAGGATGTAAACTCCTGGACTACCCAGACTAGTGCAATAACATTAGATAACGTGGGGATCCAACACATTTACAACCATCAAGGGTGTGATTGAACCACTAGACACATTCAAATCTATCCAGAAGCCATTGCCCAAAATAACTCCATTGCTATGGCATAGAAAGCAAACAAGAAAGACAGAAAGGCAGATAAGTTTACAACAAAGTTTCTAGAATGCTCACATCCATTAAGTGACTTAACACTTATGAACTATAAAGATTTTCCATATGTGAAATATTTAGGTTACACAGTTACATATACTGGTGGGAAGAGTCTAAATAATGAACATAATCTGTGAAAAAACACTTGAGTGAATGACACATGTTTGGGGAAAAGCATTAAGATGTGAATAAATGCTTATTCATGATATTCTATCTATTAGATTCTACTGAAATTATATTACATGTATCAAATTGTTTGCTAATTTCTACAAAAGAACAGGATTTTTAATAGTTCATAAAAGTGTCTCTCTTCAGAACTTAATAATAATAGTGGTGCTTTGTCTCTAATATGCAAGTGTGGTATTTATCATAGATTTGAATCTGATGTGCAGTTCAGACTGTCAAACTAAAATGCTAAACCATTGTTTCTGAATCCTTTTTGTCATTATCACATCCACTAAGAAACCTTTTTACACCTTTTTGTCCAACTGCTCCATATGAAATTTTAATATTTCAAATACACCACATTCTGTACATCACCTTATGTGTTTTATGTATATTTGAGCTTTGCACATATAAAAATTAAGACTGTTTTGTTTCAAGGGCAAATTTTTACCCCCTTGGAGGCAATATCATCACCTCCTGTAAGAATGTACGTGCTGTAAATTTTTATAAAAACAAATTTTATACAATGATTTTTATAAATCACATATGAGAACTTTTTATGTCCAGAGCACTATACCAACTTTCGACAATCCAAAATGGAAAGATATCCCTTACATAGTTTAGAGTCAAGACATAAAAATGTAAAAATCAATATAAAATGCTGTAGAAAAAATTCTTAATCCTAGTTTTATTTCGAAGTCTTACAGTTATATGGATAGAAAGTCAAAGAAATATCTTTGTTTTTATTATTGTGACCTAGTTTTAGCCGCTGATAATGTGACACAGGAAATACCTGAGAGAGCCAAACTAACTTTTAGCTTTTAAAACTGATTAACTCGTGTGTTTCTTTCAGGAAACTTTTCAGAAAAGCAACATATCTTTTCTTTTTTGTATGTGTACATAGTAAATGTAGCTAATAGTTAAAAACAAAAAATGTGGCTTTTTTTCAAACCCTAAATATGTATAACAATTCGAAGTTTTTTAATTCTTAAGAGACATTTCAATTAAAATAAATTAATCGTAGGACTATGCTTTTATTTAACTGGGTGGTGTCAGATAGATTGATAGGTCATTGAATAAATTGATAGACTGGTCAGTGAATAAATAGATGAAAACATGGATGAATACGTAGATACGTATGTACATATAACAGTCATTCATTTTCTTTTGTAGCTTCTATTTGGGAAAATAATCCTGGCACAATTAGGATTTTTTCCAACCAAGTTACTGTCACCTTTCTTATAGAATCTGATGAAAATAATTATGTTGGCTTTATTGCAACATATGCTACATTTAACAGCAGTGAGCTTAATAGTAAGTATTATTTATTTTTCAGCCTTTGAATTTTCAGATGCCTTAATATTATAATGGAATTTTAAAAGTAGCAGAACCCAAAATTTTCATTAAATAAGTCTTTTAATGAATATCTCTTATGTGTATCTCTCTCTAGTTAATATTTAGAAAGAAATGAGAAATTAAAAATGGTTCACATTCTTCAAAGAGATTAAATAACCAATTTGAGAAAGATTATCCAATCAGTATAAAAATTAATTTAAAATTTTATATTTTGTAAATATTCCAAGTTGAAAAAAACTTACTAGCATAAAACTAATTCAGAGAAAGTTCCACATAAACTTAATTTTATCAAAGTATTAAATTTAGTAATAGGAGGAGAGAAAAATATGAGACAAAGTTCATGTGGGAAATGAAAATAAGAGGTAAATATTAACAAACAAGAAGCTTGTATTTGCTAAAGTCCTTATGGGTTATAAGAAATGGATTAATTTAACACAATTGGCAATACAAATTTGGTTTTTTTTTAACTAAATGGAATGAAACGGAGTTAAGATTAATAAAATGAATGATTATGTGCATGGCATTCAATTACAAGCTGTACAAGGTTATTTTCAATGCAATTTATTATAATTACTCATATTGTGAACTAAATTTGAGTTTTGCTTTTTATTCTTTCTTTTTTTAATTCACAGATTATGAGAAAATTAACTGTAATTTTGAGGATGGCTTTTGTTTCTGGATCCAAGACCTAAATGATGATAATGAATGGGAAAGGGTACAGGGAAATACCTTTCCTCCTTTTACTGGACCAAATTTTGACCACACTTTTGGCAATATTTCAGGTATAATTCATATTTAATTCAGAAATCAAAAGGAAAGAGGTGTGTTGTTCTGCAGTTTAAAGTGAGCAGTATTAATGCAAAACAGCCCTTTCAGGTTTTCTTTTTATTAACGTCATGGACTAATAAATACATTCCAATGAAATATGGTGATCAAATAGGCAACTAAAAGTAAGTGTGTTTCAATAAATATATTATTAACCCAATATATTAAAAAATATTGAGGAGTACATAGAGGCCACTAGAGACAAGAAGACTAGGTTGTCACCCTAGATTTGCCACTTATCATTAACTAAGTAAACTTGTGAAGTAATTAACTTTTCAGAACTTTGGTCTGCTTTGCCTCAATTTCATTTTCTTACTGTTCATTGCCTGTGCACAGAAATCCAATGGATTTGTATATATTGATGTTGTAACCTATAGCCTTGCCAAACTTGTTTGTTAGCTCTGATATATTTTTTAAAGAATTCCTTAGAATTTTCAATATACAAGATCATATATTGAAATGTGGATAGCTTTACTTTTTCTGGGAAGCCCTGTGGAAGACTGATTCTAAAGCATGGTCCTAAGGGTAGGGCTGTGATTTGTCAGTACATTCATCATCTGAATGGGATATTAGAATTGGATTCCAAGTAGAAATATTAGAGACAATAATATTTGAGAAACCAGAAATCATGGGAAAATATCAGGAGATAAAGGACTTGTGGTGGGAAGATCATCCATGAAAGCCTTGGAAGCACATATTCATAATCCCAAATATTATCACTGAACAAACAGTTACAAATCTAGAAGGAATGTGTATCTTTAAAAGTAAGGAAAATTAGAAAAACAACAGAATGAATATTTGTGCATGTATAATATTTTCTTAGACAAAATCCATCTTACAGTATGGCTTGCTGATACATTGCTGATAAGAATACTATTCCATTCAAAAATACATACTAAAATCCTTCTTTAATCAGGCATGGTTCTAGACATTGAGGGCATAGATCACATATGCTACTTCTGTGAAGTCTGTCCAGAACTTTCAAGTTCCAAAACTTCTTTTCCATTAAACATGTTAGCACCTCTTTTGTTTCCATCACATGGCATTATATTTACTTACTTACCTGTTTCTTTTCACCACAGTATTCTTTCAGGAATGAAAACCTAGTCTTTTTTATCTTTGAATTTCTAGGACATTCTCAGTGCCTGAATTTAATTAATATGTAAAATTATTTTTGAATATATAAATGCCTGTCTACAACTTTCACTCAAATTATTCCTGCATAAGTTATTGACTGAATGGAATGGTTTATAACATAAGAAAGTAATCTAAGAACATGTCCATTGTAATTTATTCTTTTACTCCTTTATTCATGAAGTATTTATTAAGCCCAGCCCCTATTCAAGGCACTCAGAATATATCTGTGAACAAAATAAACCAGACTTTCTGCTCTCATGGAACACATAGTTTAACCAAAAAATAAAATAAGCAATATACACCAAAAGTAATTTTTTTTAGTAGGTTAAATGTGGATGCATACTCTTGGAAGATATTAAGCTTGGTAAGTGAAAAGGGAAAGGCAGGTGCTAAGGTGCTATTGCAAGGTAAAATAGGCTGATCAATTTAGGCCTCATTGAAAAAGTGACATTTGAATGCAAACCTTAAGAAACTGAAAGGATTGTCATATCAATTATTCCAGGCAGAGGGAGCATATCTGACCTGTTGAAAGGTAAGCCAGGAGGGCAGAGTGGCTGGAGTGGAGTGAGTCAGGCAGCAGGGCCCACATGACCATGGGGCTTCTATGGCCTTGACATTTTTTAACAAGGAACCAGTTGAAGTTCTTGAGCACAGGCATGAAAAGATTCACTCTGACTGTTATGCAAGGAATAGTTTGTGGAAGGGCATGAGTGTTGAAGGGAAACCAGTGGAAAGTTATCGCCTAACCCAGAGAAGATGTCTCAGGGCTCAAATCAGAGGGAGCAGATGTGGCGAGAAGAGGTCAGATTCCAGGTCTATTCTGAAAGTGAAGCCAATGGGATCCTGCTCAGTTAGTTTGCAGTGTGGACCTACATATAAAAATGTGCTCCATGTAGATGGCTGATCCCATAAGACCAAAAATGTTTAGTGTTGAAAATGATGGCATGAATAGCCTCATACATAATTAATCTTCTTTGAATAAGTTATTTCCCAAACCTGATCCTCCATGGATAAATTAGTAATCTGAACAGATGAAGACTAAATCCCAAGTGATAATCACCCCAACCCACTAAAGAGGCCTGACCTAAAAGAGTCAAATAATCTGATCATTTTTTTCCCTGACTGTAATAAATAAAACGTCTCTCCCACACTTGGACAAGAGTAGTTAGAAGAAATTGCAGAAAGCATTTATATCTATTGACTTTGACAGATACCTTTTATGTAGTTGAAATCTTTGATGTTCAAATTATCATTTTTCTACTTTTATGTCATCATAATAAGAGATAAAATAATTCCACTGATATTTGAAGAGTATAAGTACATTACAGGAGAAAATTGGTTTCGGTTTGCCAACAGATTAAATAATGAAAAAAATAAGATGAAACTGACCAAAGCGAAATAGGTTGAATGTCAAGTGGAGGTTTTAAATAGTTGGGTTGGAAATCGAGTTTCAGGAGAAAGTCGGATAGCAGGAGTTATTTAAAATTAGACAAGTCATGTAATGAGGACCGATGATGGGGTTTAATAGGTCCTCTCCAACTTAATGCCTGTGATTTTATAATCTACCAGTCATGCCACCACATGGGACGTTTTTCTTTTAATCTGCTTTTTTTATGTGTCAGAACATCTGAAATGGAAGAGAATTATAATAAATCTCTCCTGATGGTGGTCCTTTTATTCGTGCAGGGTTTTGTTATTGTTGCTTGTTTGTTTCAGTTCTTTGCCTTTACTTTAAATGACAGGAATGCCTAGATGAAACAGATAAATTTTGAATTGACATTGCTTTAGAGATGACTATCTAAGCCACCTCACATTCCTAGTCCTTGTGAAGAATTCTCTCCTGATGGAGCAATGGCTCTTAACTCTTGGTATTGTCAATGCTCAGAGGGAGATGGTGGCCTTGATGCAGGGCAATGTTTTGTGGTGCTCAGAAGTGGCCCATTTGTTCAGAAAACTCAAGGAAAACCAGGTTAGTAATATGTGAAAACTTCAGAAATGTAGGGGCCACAGAGGACTAGACAGCTCAAAGAAAGCATTTCTTTCCTTGCCTTTGTCAACAAAATTGTAATTGTCTTTAACACTTTGGGAGGCAACAGTTTAGTAGTAAAGATCCTTAAAATATAGACCCTGGAGTCTCAGCTAGGTTTAAATCTCAGCCCTGCCATTTAGGGAAGTTTTCTAACCTCTCTCTCTTCCTCAATTGCCTTGTCTGGAAAGTGGAGTTGATGATGATAGACCTGACTTTGGAAGTATGCTGTGAACATTAAATTGATTACTATGTTAAAAAACAAAAACAAAAAAAAAAACAAAGAAAAACAACCCTCAGAAAAATATCTGATATGTAGAAAGTGCTATATAAGCGTTAGGTATTATAACTATTTTTTTAATGTCACAAAAGTATTCAAGAGATACAGCTGAAGTTCTAAATAGTATGCTGATGAGTAAAATAGTTATTTTGCTCAATTTTAAAGTATATTGTGTCTTTTAGATAACTGCACTTTATTTAGCATAAAACTTTTTCTAAAGTTGGTATAACTTCAGTGTTTGCGAAATAATATCTTTATTTTCTTCTCGTTCCTGTGATGTTGAATTTTAAAAATATTATTTTTAAAATTTTAAAAATAATATTGCTTTCTAATATTGATAGAATTTGGACCATTTGCCAATCTAAACTTTCAATAATATCTACTAGATTCAGTTAATTTTACATGTGCACTTAAAACTCACAAATTATGTAACCAAAATATATGTACCACCGTAATATTCTGGAAAAAAAAGGAAAAGAAAAAAAAAAAAGACTCACAAAGCCATTTTTATCCTTCTTAAGAGAGATCTCAAAGTTTCCAGAAAGTTCTACTACCTCTCTAGTTTCTTCTGTCTCTACATCAGCATGCTCAGCACTTGCTCAGCACATGCTCAGCACTTTTGCTCTGTAATCAGAGTGTTGGGTGGGGAAAGGTTATGGAGAAATAAAAAGTAAAAAAAGTGATAGAAGGAAGTTCTAAGAAAAACCTAATGGCTCAACAAAGAGATTCACTGTGTGCTTAAATTAATAAAATGTATTTAATTGTGTGAATTTTAAGCTAACTCTGAGATTAATTCCAAGAGCTCTTCCAAGAAGATATTTCAAGAAAGTTGAAGGCTTTTAAAAGAAATTATTATTTGACCACGTAAATTACCATGTGGTTATGGAAAATATCTATTCCCTTAGTGTAGAACTTTGATAACTTTAAAAGCCAGTAAAATCAGTGCAACAATAATCCGTTAAGCAACATTTAGCTAATTCAATATAAAGAACAAAACATGAACAAGGTGTTTTTCTTTTTCTCAAAGTTCTGCCAAGTTTAAAAATTCACACATAAACATAGATAAAATACACAATAGAATATGCTAATTGACATCAGAGAAGTACAAAGTGCCACTGAAAATTCAAAAGTGGTCACTCTTAATTGAAAGGCTTTCTGAAAGAGGTAGCAATTTGATTCAAATGACCTCAAAACAGTAGGATTTTAAAAACGTACAGGTAAGAAGGGCAGAAAAACAGAAAAAAGACCCTCCAAGTCATAAAATTTCTAGGTGTTTGGAAATATTAAAACAATCTAATTTCATAGAAATGCTGTAAGTAAGTGGATGAATTATAAGAACTATAGCTGGAAAATGATATTGAAGTCCTAGTACTTAGGCTTCAAACATCAGAGTGAATTTGTGCTTGGTTTAATAAGAAATAAAGACATAATAAAAGATCTTGAATAAAGGACCAATGGGATTGCCCATAAGAAAGTATTATTAAGCAATGGTGTAAGTGATGACGAATTTTGACATAAAGAGTGACAATGATGGTCTGATTTCAGTTAATTGTCCTGTCCATGTGTTGTGATATTCCTACTTCTCCACCTGGTAAGATTCTGCAACAGAAATACTGTGTGAACGTCCTGTTTCCACACACTTAGTGGAAATGACTAGTTGTGCAATTGATTTTGAGCTTATCAAATTGAAGAAGCAAACTGAAATTGTGCTTTATTAAAATTAATAAAAGCAAAAAAAGGATATTCTTGAGAAGACTAGGAGAAATAACAGTGGCCTTTAAACATTTGTAGAACTGCAAATAACATCTTATTTTTAATAGTCCCAGAGGGCAAAATTAGATATAATAGGTGCGGATTAGCTTAATATTTAAAAATAAAAGAATTTTCCAATCACGTTGAGATTGAATGGGCTTCCTTGGAATTCAATGGTTCCTGCTGCATCTGTGACATGTGTTAAAAACAGATCAAGTGACTACTATAGGCATGGAATTTAAGGACAAATGGGTGATTAGACCCAGCAGACTTTTGTGTAAACTACAAATCTCTATTTTTTTTTTAAATTTCAGGATATTATAGGGTACAAACATTTTGGTTACATTTTATGACTCTGCCTCACCCAGGCAAGGATTAGAGGCATGCCCTTCCCTTCTACAGTGCTCACCATGTCCATTAGTTGTGAGCTTACCCCCTGGGGACCCCCTAATCCCTGGAGAATATTACTACTGTGTGAACACCATAGTGTTGATCAGTTAACGCCAATTTGACGGCGAGTACATGTGGAGCCTATTCTTCCATTCTTGTGATACCTCACTTCAGAGGATGGGCTCAAGCTCTATCCAGGAAAATATAAAAGGTGCTAGATCACTGTTGTTTCTTATAATTGAGTAATATTCCATTGTATACATATACCAAATTTTAATAATCCACTCATGAATTGATGGACACTTGGGTTGTTTCCACATCCTTACAATCGTGAATTGTCTGCCATAAACATTCAGGTGCAGATGTCTTTATTATAGAATGTCCTTTGCTCTTTTGTGTAGATGCCTAAAAGTCCTATTGCTGGATTGAAAGGTATTTCTATTTTTAGCTCTTTCAGGTATCTCCAAATTCTTTTTCCACAGAGGTTGCACTAATTTGCAGTCCCTCCAGCAGTGTAAGAGTGTTCCTCTCTGTCCACATCCTCGCCAGCATTTGTTGTTTGGGGATTTTTTTGAGAGGCCAATCTCACTGGGGTTAGGTGATATTTCATTGTGCTTTTGATGTGCATTTCTCTAATGATTAGGGATGTTGAGCATTTTCAAATATGTTTGTCGGCCATTATTCTATTTTCTTTTGAAAAGTTTCTGTTCCTTTCCTTAGCCCGTTTATTGATGGGGTTGTTTGATTTTTTCAAGTTCTAGATAGATTCTTGTTATCAACCCTTTATCAGATGTATAGAGAGCAAATGTTTTCTCCCATTCTATAGGTTGTCTATTCACTCTAATGATAATTTGCTTGGCTGTGCAAAAGCTTTTTAATTTAATCAGGTCCCATTTATTTATTTTTGTTGCTGCTGCAATTGCTTTGGGGATCTTCTTAGAAAATTCTCTGCCTAGGCTAATGTCTGAAAGGGTCTTCTCAACATCTTCTAAACTTCTCAAGGTTTCATGCCTTAGGTTTAAGTCTGTTATCCATCTTGAATTGATTTTCTATTTTTAAAATTTGTAATTTTATGAAGCATTTCCTTCACTGTGGACTAAAGAATTTAGCTGGTCACAAAATAATAATTTAATATTATATATTTTACTATATTTCCATAATACACAATTTTATATGATATTTACTATACTGTATTTATACAAGAATTTACTGGGTACTATAGTCTATATAATTAATTATGTTTTATATGATCACTGACATAAAGCCATAGAATCATATCTTGATTATAGTTAAAACTCTAAATATATTACTGCTTAATAAGTAAACAAAATATTTCAAATTATAACTAATTGACTATAAACATGGACAAACATGAATAGGAGAACTATGTGTGTTTATGTTATAAAATTTCAGCTAATTAGAAACATTTCTGATTAGGCTAAACATTTCAATACTTATTCATGGTATTCAGTGGTATTTTAATTATTTCCACCCCAACCACTTTCTAAGCAACCAAAACTAACATCAACTCAAAAGGAACTTGGAGTTGGACATTTAGAGAGTGGATTCTGGAATCTCCCCTCTGTATCTATGCTACTCTTTTCATTATGTTGTATGATTGAAGACTAACTAAATAGCTAATGTATTCATGAAATATCACAGCATTATGTAAAATATGAGAAATATGTTAAAAATATAAAATCTTAAACACATTTATTTTTATTTTTACATTTTTAATCTAAATTGAATATGTATATATCTGTATGTTTATAGTATATATATATATATATATATATATATATATATATTACATTTATTAAATCATTTGACCACAAATTCACCTTGGTAAAATACTCATTTATTCTGAATAATTTTTGCCTCACTGGTCTAAATATGCATTGATATATCTATAAGCAGTTTTACTAGTGTTTCTTTCTTCATGTTGTGTTCTTACTTTACATGTTATAAACGAATGAGTATGAATTTTATATGCAAACTTGCCTATATTTTTCTGTCAGAAAGCACAAGAGAGTAGATGGTTGATTTCAAGTAAACACAAAATTTCGGCATTTCATAAAAATTGCATTTCAATCAAATTGGGTTAATCCAATATTTCATTTGCTTTATATCATATTTTGTTACATGATTCTTGCTTCTTGTCATACTGTTAAGAGTGGCAAAGTAAGAATAAAATAAATTCCCCTAAGAAAATGTTCAAGATGTTCTTATCCCAACAACTTGTCATACTTCAAATGATTCAAATCATTGGTTGGAATAATGAATTCTAGACCAGAAAGCACTTTATGCAATGGCTTATGCTATTTTGAGGGTTTTTTTTATGGATAGTGTGCTTCCTGCTCTTCCGTGATCAGATTAGGTATCATTCAAAGGAATAAGGGAAGATGAAATTATAAAATCAGGCATATTTAGAGATATGCAGTGTACCCAATAGAATCTAAAACTGAGAGTCTTTGAAACTCTTAACTTTGCCTTCAAATTTTGTGTTTAAATTCTTTTGTATATTATGAGTTAGTCAACATATATAAATATCCTCATGTACTGATTGTCTCGAAAGATGTGAATTAATCAAAAAATCTAGTAAATTGGAATTAAAGTGGTATTTGGGCCTGATAATATAATAACTCATAACATGTCAGGATTTGATATACCCTTGATGGTGCTATAGTTCAAAGCTCTCATTTAATAAAGCTTGAGGTCCAGAGTTGTGAAGCAATTTCCTAAATAACAATCTGTTATGGCAAAGGAGCTGCTTTCTGGGCTTGAGTCTCGTATCCTGTCCATTATATCAAAATTTTTCCTTATATTGTCATCTTAAGGTTGTACTTTAATATTTACAAGTGATACATTTCACACCATGAAAATGCAATACATGAGTTATATAAAAACTTTTTTGTTATTCAAACAGGATTTTATATTTCTACCCCAACTGGACCAGGAGGGAGACGAGAAAGAGTGGGACTTTTAAGCCTCCCTTTGGACCCCACATTGGAACCAGTTTGCCTTAGTTTCTGGTATGTTGTAGACACATGTTAAATGCTGTCTTATTTAATGAGATAACATTGTTTTTCTCTGGTTACTGGACACAAATTTCACTAAGACGTTGGCTGAAGTTTTAATGTATATGCTATTACTTTTCCAATTTATAAAGCAACGAAATGCTGGTGGATTCCCCTTCCCTTCCCCAGCGACTCCCATATTCAAGGGGAAAAAGGTATTTCAAAGACAGTGAAGCATTTAGAAAAACTACAAAATGCATTTATTCTAATATTGAAGGAATCCAAACATTTTTTGCTTGTTTCCAAAATAGGTATTATATGTATGGTGAAAATGTCTATAAATTAAGCATTAATGTCAGCAGTGACCAAAACATGGAGAAGACAATTTTCCACAAGGAAGGAAATTATGGAGAAAATTGGTATTATGGACAAGTAACTTTAAATGAAACAGTTGAATTTAAGGTTTGCAAAATACTTTGTGATTTATATTTGGGTTCTTTTTATGATGATACAGTTATATTTATGGTGGTAGAGTGAAAAAAATTAAATTATTTTTCTGAAGATAACCAGATCACTTTCTCCACTTTCCTAATCTACCTGAATTTTTATCTTTGAATACTTTTATTTTCATTCATTTATTAACTTATTAAAAACCACTTATTGAGAAATAACTTACTACATGAAAGTATAGCTTATAATGATCCATCATATCCATTGAAACCTTGTAGGATATTTCAGCCACTATCTAGCATAGGCAAACCATTTCTTCCTATATCCTTTGCTTACCTAGGACTTTTAACTTTTCACAAACACCACCTAGGTCAGTCCTGTACTTTTCTAGGGAATTATCCTATCCTATAAGAACATCTATGCCCATAGGTATCTATCTACCCTGCCCCACTCTGATTTAACTTCCATATATTTTCTTTAGAACAAATTATATGAGCTATATCATTGGGAAGTCTCTGATCATTTATTTCACATTAAGGTGAATTAATTTTTCAAATAAGAGTTTAATGTGTTTTCTTCCTAAGGGTCTTTGCAATTAAATTATAGCATAATATAGGCTATTAGTTTGATCAAATTAACAATATTCTAATTGGGTAATTTCAAACAAGATAGTATCACTTTTGCAAGATGTATATTTGGATAGTCATTATCACTGCCTTCAGGTCTTCCCATGACTTGGTGTAAGGCAAGCAATAGTCATCTGTTTTTATCTCATCTTTCTTTTTTCCTTTTTCCTTCTTTTCTTTATTCTGATTCTATCCTTTTCTGTAAAGTTTTCTTCTCCAACTTTCCAATAATTGAAGTTAAGATAAGAAAAAAATTAGACATCCAGAGAAGAAAGAGATGGCAGAAACGGGGAAATCAGCATTGCAGTGGCCAAATCTGGCTCAACTCACTGAACAACTTTTCTAAAGTAATATAACTAAGTCCATTTTTTGAGCGTTAGCTCATCATGGAGAGTAAGAGTATTAAGTTCTACAAATATTTGCATATTGGCTTTGCCACTTTTGCCGCTTTGTTGTGAAATCTTGAACAAGTCACCGTAGTCTCCTTGAAACTTAATTACCTCATACAAGAAAGGAAGAAAATAATACTTATTTGGAATGGTGTTTGACAATGAAGTGTTTGACATGGAATGAATGAACAACTGAGTAAATAGATGGCTGTACAGTAGGGTTGAAAAATTAAATATGATAGTGTATACCATGTGCCTAGCACAGCTTAGCATATGGCAGGTGTTAAGTTTATGTTTTGTCTCTCCTACATAGGAGAGGATCCAGAAAAGTGTAGCTAAAATCCCACTGTCCCTGAGAACCTAATATCTGATGAATGGACCCTTCTCCCAAATCTGGTTGTGTGTCCTTTGGGCAGCATCCTCATACAGTACCCCACACCAACACCCTGGCTGAACTATGCCCAGTACCAGCTGGCACTGAATGTTCATATTTTACTCATACTTTCTCTTGTTCTTTTCTCCTTCCATTTAAATTATCTAATCAGTGGGTCTTCTCTTCAGGGCTTGTATGCTCTAGGAAGGCAGATAGCTACCTGGATTTCTAATATTGTTGGGAGGAAAAATCTGGGAGACAGTTGCTCTCCACTGCTAGATAACGTGTGCATATGACAGACAACAGTGGAGTATGACAGTTTCATGAGAGAAAGACAGAGAGACAAAAAGACAAAGACAGAGAGACAGAAACTGTAACAATATTGCCTTACTCAGAAGGAAGCCAGGAATAAAAATTTAGCCAGTATAAACATATAATAAGTGAATTGGGTTTAGAAGAAGGCCTTAAAAATCATGATCCATTAATATTTCACTATGAGGTAACTGGACATGTATATTTGGAGGTGGCAATATGGATTCTCCACAGGATATTGGGCCACAGAAGAAGGACCAAGTCAGAGAACATTACAGTGGAATTATTTCATATACCTCTCTGAATTGCAGGTTGCTTTTAATGCCTTTAAAAACCAGTTCCTAAGTGATATAGCATTGGATGACATTAGCCTAACATATGGTATTTGCAATAAGAGTATTTATCCAGAACCAACTTTGGTCCCAACTCCTCCACCGGAACTTCCCAGTAAGTAACCATAATGTGTATTTTTTCTTATTATGTCATTAATACTTTCAGGTAGATCTTGCTTTGGCTTATTTTTGTCATCTCAGTCTGATATTGTCTTTTTTTCCCCTATAGGTCAAAGACTTTAAAATATAAGGAAAATATGTATGCTATCAAAATATTACATGTGACACATAAATCCACAATGAAAATCACTTAGTACTTTGTTATGAATCTTATTAATAATCATCTTAATCCCTTTTAATTTTGGAAAACAATGAGGGTGCTGATTTCCATTTTGTTTTCACTAGAATACGAACAAATGCTGTGTGGCATGGCCCGTAGCCTTTGGGGAACAAGCCTTGAAGTTCTCATGGCCTTCATAAGAAGTGATTAAGATTTCTAGAGCAGTTTAGTTAAGCCCGAAACTCACCAAGCCTATTTTTAGAATAATTTAACAACAGTTATTACTCCTGAACTTTGAACAAACAGACCCAGATCGCACAAAAGATTTTTGTCCTGAATGGTGTGTTCATAAGGCTTTAGAATATGCTCCCTTCATGGAGCCACTAAAGTGCTACAGCTGAATAGTGACTAGGATTCTGGGTGTTCTATGAGATATTTTAGCTCAAAAGGAAAAAATGCAGCTTATGTCTACCTGTGCTCTTAAGTCAAATTGAAAACATGGCATTTTAGAGAGAAACCCATCACTGTTCAAATTATCCATGTTAAAAATGACAATCACTTCGATACTACTTTCAGATCATGAAATTTGACAGGAAATAAAAGAAAAACACATATAGTAAATGATAACAAACACCCATTGTTTATATACTGGGATGTCTTCACTGTGTTTTTGTATTTATGCAAGAACCATCCTTCTGTTTTTGGATTATGGAGGTTAGAAGCTGATCTAGTGCTACAGCTTTGCTTGGGTTGAACATCATGGATGCTTTGTTCTACCATGGATCTGAGCCCACAAAAACAGCACTTTTTTCATTTCCTATTTTCTTCCAAGCACACCTGAAACCTTACCACATTCACATCAACAAATCAGTTTGTTGATCCTATCCAAGTTTGGTTTTACTTCCAAATCTATGTATTTTCCTCTCCAAGCTAAAAAACAAAAAGAAGCAGATTTATCAGATGAATGACCTTAACTATTCAAAGTCTCTTAAAATAAATGACCAGTATTGGAGAATATTTAAAAAATGAGTTGTCATTAAGTTGAAGATAGTAATTATATTGCTCTTCTGGTCCCATGCCATCATATAGAATGTACACTTACATGTCACCAAAAGACTAGTTTATCTTGTGTATTAACGTTTTTAGATGCTTGTGTGGGTTGTACATACATTATTCAATACTTCAAACACTCATTCAAATTCTTTAAATATCTACAATGTGCAAAGTATTGCATAAGAAATGTAAGATGTAGCAATAACCATCGACATGAAAAAAATTAATATTCAAATAAATATTTAAAGCAATATATAATGATGTGCCCTTAAAAATAATACATGAGAGAAGAAAGCAATGAATAGAGGACTTTAGAGAAATGAGTGTGAGCTGGAGGCAGCTTTAAGGAAGCATGCAGATAAAAGGCAGAATGACATTCATAAAACTGAAGCAAAAGCAGAGAAGCACCATGCATCCTTGTGTGATAATATTGGTCACCAAATTATGGCAAAAGTGAGTTTCTTGATACCAAATCTAGGCCTAATTTACCTTTGCCCCACCAGTGTCTGACTGGTTCCTATTATCATGTAAGTAGGTGATCATAGTTATTATAAAAAATCATTGTCTCACTTCATGATACAATGTAGGGTATGTGTAGGTGTTCCATACCCTGCCTGTTTATTATTTAGAACATTTTTGTGCAAAAACAACACACTCAGAATCATTAAAATCACTGCTTGTTTGATAAATAATTCCTATATATACCAATTATTAGTGATGTTTTGCTATTTTGTTACTGCAATAATAAAAACAATAGATTTTCTTTATAATACTTTTTGCCAGTCTGTTTCTGTATTCATTAATAAATGGTCAGGAAGAAAAATTTCCTAGGTTAGAAATAACGTAGTCTCACAGTCTCAATATTTAAAATATAACAAAATCTCATTACCTAAAATAGAAAATTTAAGATAACTTTTGTACATAATATCATACCTATAAATGAAAAACTTTAAAAATGGTTTTCCAGAATAAAAGTTTATCTCTATGGTCCTCAGTCCTCACATTTATTTCAGTCAGAAAGAGAAAAAGATCACACCTCAATGTCAAGAATGCTGGGTATCTATGCATATTTTAGCAATAGGGAAATTGTAATGGTAGAATGACCCATCTGATTTTAAAATATAAGCATTAGAATCTATCCAGAGTATATTTGTTCCAGTTTCCAAGTGACTCACTTCAAGGCAATATTTATCACAGCAGAAAATGTTAATTACCATCAAATGTATTCTGAACAATTTCATTCTAATGCCATTTGCAATTGGTTCACTGAAATTCTTATTTGAGCAGAGCTTTTCTGGTTCCAGATCACTGATTTGTTTAAGCAGAAATAAAAGAAAACCATGGCTGACTGGCTAATAGCCTTTCTTTGGCTCTTTTTAGAGCACTCAAATAAGAAAATAATCCCAGACAAGTAACTGAATAATAAAGCTCAGTTTCCTCCCTGGTTCTTAGGGATCTACATTGTGCCTAGTTTGAGGAAATATAATCTCGGTTTTCATAACCTCAGGGATTCTTCCATTTTGTGACTTCAATCATTTGCTGGTATATCAGCTCTGCAATTGTTGCCCTGTGACATTGGCACAAATTAATTTAAATGTGGAGATTGTACTCAGGACATTTTGAGAAAGTAAACATTCATTACACAAATATGCCAATTTGCAAGACAATTTTGATGATTCATGACAAGAAACCTACTGAATAGAATAGGTGTATACAAAAAGAAATCCACATTTCAGGCCCCTGACTTATATCTGGGGGTGTTAAAACTAATTAAGAGAAAAAAAAAGGGGGGCCAAGCCATAGTTTTAGTAATTTTAATAGTCACTCTTCATTTCCACAGTTTTGCACGATTTGGCCATTATTTACCTATTTTCTATTTTCAAATATTAAAAGTTAATTTGGAATGTTTGGTAGACATGCCACTAAGAGCTAAATAATCTAACTTTAATTCTTCATGTAGAAGTGCATCAGTATCTATCTACTTCTCTTATAATTGATAGCCATATTCAGCAGAGCTGCTTGCTTTCTATATCATTAATATAACATAATAGTCAAAACCCTGGCAAATTCCATATTAGCTGCATTCATATACTCTGGTATCATCATGTTTTGGCTGTACTATTTTGGTTGGTTTGTTTGTCTGTTCTTGTTTGGTTGAATTTTTTAGAGACAGGGTCTCAATGTTGCTCAGGCTGCAGTGCAGTGGCATCATCATAGCTCACTGCAACCTCAAACTCCTGGGCTCAAGCAATCTTCCTGCCTCAGCCTTCTGAGTAGCTGAGACGATTGATGTGTGCTACCACACCTGGCTAATTTTTATTTTTATTTTTTGTAGAGATAAGGTCTTGCTATATTGTTCAAGCTAATCTTAAACTCCAGGCCTCAAGCAATCCTCTTGCCTCAGCTTCACAAAGTTCTGGCACTAGGTGCAGTGGCATGTGCTTGTAGTTCCAGCTGCTCAGGAGGCAGAAGCAAGAAGATTGCTTGAGGACAGGCATTCAAGTCTGTAGTGTACTTGTGAATAGCCACTGTTCTCCAGCCTGGACAACATAGCAAGACCCTGTTTTGAAAAAAACACCCCCTCAAAACAACAAAAAAATTGTAGCCTACTTTTTAGAGTTATTGCTGGCTAGATTTCTATTAATAACTAAATTTAGACTATTGGGAATGAAAATTTGAATTTTATTGCCACAAATGTAATAAAAATATTTACATCATGGCTGGTTACTACAACTTGTTAATGGAAATATATTTGATAAAGTGAACACAAAATTTTCCTGGAAGATTTCATTTTAGATAACAACCTAAACTTTTAAAATGCTATCTGTAATACCAAAGAAGTTGTTATCTATTATTATGATAATAAAAAATAATTGCTGATTTTGAAAATTAGCCACTTTCAACGTATTCAAACATCAATAAGCAGTATCAATTCTTAAGCTACATCTGTTATTTCCCTCACATAAAAGTATCAGACAAAAACCTATTTTTCCATATCCTCATTTCTTATTTCACCACAAATATGTTTAATTGGAATCCTCTTACTGTAAGTAAAAGCTAGACTCTCTTTTCTACCTCCACAGTAAATGCTTCTAAGTTGACACATATCTCATGGGCCTCAGAAACTTAAGCATAGATTTAAAATGACACGCCTCAGGGAAAATAGCTATCCCTGACAACCACTTGGCCAAATACTGTGTGTTATTTACATAGTGTATGTAGTGAAAATCTCTACTGGCATTGTAAGAAATTAATCAGAATACAAATGTTTGAGAGAATAGCTCTCAGAAAAAAAGAAAAATGAAAGAGCTTAACACTATAAATGAATAGAATTCCCTGTACAAGACAAGCTATTTTATTCACATTCTCTGGGTGGCGACGGTTTATCTAATGACACCGTGTGACTGTGATATCTAGAATTACATCTCATGAATCTTTGGCTCCTCTATCAAGAGGCATATGCCACATCTCCACAATAGCAGCACCACCATTACAGTAAATTGTGTCATCACATTTAGAGTACCTTAAAGCGCTTTTGCCAATTCCTCACGGTCATTTATATGCAGAGAGTAACTGAATATCTTAACAGGCCAAGCATCAGAGGTAGCTTACTGGTCAGTTATTTGATACTAAATTATAACTCAAATGCATTTCAAAAATACCTATTAAGTATTTTAAAGGAATAAATTTTCCAAGACTTCTATTTAGTGGAAAAATGCTAAGAAAACCGCCTGCCTTGACAGGCTTAACAATTATACTTGACAACATTTGAGTTCCGGTTGTGTGTTTATTATAGTCATACCTTCACATCTTCACACATGATTCACTAAGTGCTTAGTTACATGAAAAATTCAATACATTTTCCTAATGTCGGCTATTTACTATATTAAGAATATAAGATTTTGAAATTTTCATGTTCCTTGAAGAGAAAGTGAGAATAATAATAAAAATAAAATAAAATAAAACAGTAAAACCATTGGCCACAGCTAACTTTATGAAATAGGAAGAGTTTGCTTTCTCCAGTGTGTAATTTGCAGTGAAATTTTTGTCCCAGCAGTAACACTTTCCCTCCTTCACTGATCTCACTGAGGATTAAAGGAAGCATTTCATAGCAGTTGATAATTATTAAAATTAAATGCATTATGAGTATGTAGAGACATTATAGGGTTGTGATAGACCCTTCTTCAGAAATCTTGCAAATTAGTTTCATAATCAAAGAGAACATTAGTTTCCAACAGAGAAGCTGCCCTTATTTCTGGATTACTGTTTACTGTTTAATTAAAATGCCTTCAGCACCTTGTATATACTGATTTCTTCCTTCTAAATCTATCCATCCTTGACCTTACTTGTCAGTGCTTTCATCCACGTTGTCTTCTGTCCTACTTCTTTTTGTTATAAACCTATCAAATGCCACTCGTTGAGAGTCAGTCTAAACCCTGCCCATGGTGTAGACCAGATAGTGGAGATAATTTGGAGTTTAATCAACCCAGTGGAAGACAGTAATGTAATGTGGGATGAGTTTGAGATTAACTGGGTTGAAGTCTTTACTTTGACTCTAGTTGTACAACATTAGCAAGTAGCTGAATATCTCCAGTCCTCAGATAGTCCATGTAAACTGAAATAATAGTAGCAGTTACCTAATCCACAAGGATGATTTTAAAACTGGTACTGAGTATGCTAGGCAATGCGTAGGCATTATTCATAAATTATCTCTGATTTTTACATCAACCCCCCCAAATCCTTAATATAAATTATCTCTGATTTTTACATCAATCCCCCCTAAAATCTCTTTTATACATGAGAAAACCAAGTCTCCAAAAGACAACTAGCTCAGAGCCACAATTTTAATCTAGCAGCTCCCACACATCTTCCTTTTGTATACCATGTTCTCTCCCCAGGTAAGAAAGTGTGCATAGAAATACTTTGCAAAGAATAAGGTTTTGTAAGAGGTTTTTATTATTTTGATAAGTTCCTCTGGGCCTGGACAAGCCTGCCCTGGGAAGGCATATAAGACAAGACCATGCTCTACCATCTCACAGAACAGGACATGCTGGCAAGGATACAGCTATTGAGTCAGAGTAATTGACTCTCTCTGTTCCATTGTACATATGACCAAACTCAAATCTAAAAAGCTTGTTACATGCCAATTTGGAAGATACACATGAATTTCAAATGATCTACATAAATAAGGCAAATGATATATAAAAGAGATATTATGGAAGATAGTATGACTGAAGGCACTGCCCTAGGTGTGGAGACACTTAATTAACCCTCTCATATGATTTCTAGCTTAATGGGGGTAAGCCATTTCAGTATCATCTGCCATTAACCATAGAAAAATATATTTATCACAGTTTTCTATATTCTTCAAATTAAATTACTTTTGTTCTTTTGATCATTTTTTAAATATAATAATGGTAACAAGAATGAGATAGAATTGGGATACTTAAAAGTGGTTGATGAATTTTTACATTATTTTAGAACATGTTTCTAATAAATAAGAAGATAAATATAAAATATAAATATAAAATAAGAAGATAAATATAAAATTTGCTTAAAGGGTTTCATAAAATTAGTCTATGTACTTAAAACATCATACTCTGAGCTGGAAGATCTGTGCTGTATTGTTCTAATAAATTTACCTTAAGCTTAGTCAATTTGACTTCTGGACAGTGTTGACTATCAGATCAGTCCAAGGAAATTATTAAGCAGATAGGGTTTTAGTTTGTGCCCCTTTCCTGACTGTCAAATGCTTCAATATGCAGGATAATAACCCTTTCCCCCAACCCTACAAAAGAAGAAAAATTTTAAAAAGAAAGGTAAAAAGAAACAAGAAAATAAAAAACAAGAAATTCAAGATTAGTGATTTACTAGCCCTTCTCATAAGAGAGTAGCAGATAGAGGATCTGTCCTAGTAAAAACGTTCATTTGTTTCTACAACAGGGATTTGATACCTTATTTCACAAAGTCTATTTATAAAAGATGATTGATAAAAATGTTCCTTTGCACAAATAATTTTGGGATAAGCTGCACACTATTATGCTCTCTTGGAGATTTATAAAAGCCATATGAATATTAAAGGTTTTGAAAAGATATTCAATAAAGAGACCTATTTACTTATATTTTTTCCATACTTAATTTGCAAAGTTTTTCCTTATGTGAACTCTAAGAGGTATCTGTCAAAACTAGAATTCTAAGAAATATAACTGGAAATGTGGTAATATGCAGTATTCTTGTTCTGAAACAAAGTGTAATATTAATGATTTTTTCATTGCTTTCATTTTCAGCGGATTGCGGAGGACCTGTTGAACTGTGGGAGCCAAATACAACATTCACTTCTATGAACTTTCCAAACAGCTACCCTAATCAGGCTTTCTGTGAGTCATTTCTTTTCCAGGTCATCAGAAACAAACATACATATAAAGATTAGATGCCCCCCTTAACACAGCAAAGTAGATTATAAATTTGTCAAATATAGATGCACCTACCACATCTACCTACGAGATTGCCTAATGTAACAACAATAATAATTGCTAAACATTTTTAAGATTTATTTTATTCCTGGCACTATGCTAATGCTTAATATACATTATATCAGTGAATTCTTACAATAATTCTTTGAAGTAGGTTCCATTATTATAATTCCAAATTTAAAAGTTGAATAATGACAATGAAAGAGCCAGCCTCACCCCAGGTAGAGTTCTCTAAATCACTCACCTTATTTATGCACATAATGTCTATACTGTGTTTAACAAGTTTGCAGTTCCATAGAGCAAAGTCAATGGAAAGTATACAAAGTTAAGAGCCAATTGTGACATCTACACCTTTAGCAAATATAGTAGAGTCAATAAAGCAGACAGCAAGAGTAATGTGATTAGATTTCCAACATAAAAAAATAAAATTATAGGGAGGATCACTAAACAATCTAAATCCACAGAGAAGAATAGTTTGCTAAAATTTCACAAAGGCTATCTCTAGATTTATGTTCCTAACTAGAGAAACTCATTTAAAGCTGCATAGAGATTGTGTTAAAGATGCAGTTAGGGGTGGGTAAACTCACAACTAATGGACGTAGTGAGTGTTGTAGGGGGGGAAGGGCACACCTCAAATGATGGTTTGGGTGTAGCAAAGTCATAACATGTATCCAAAATGCTTGTACCCCCATGATATCCAGAAATAATGATAATAAAAAAAGATACAGTTTCCCCAACCCATCCTACAAAGATTCCACTTCATCAAGTCTGGGAACAAACTTGTTCTTCTAACTAGGAGAAACACTAATCTAAAAGGAGAATTCTGTTTGTGAAAGAAATGTCCCAATGCAGTAAAAAATGTGCTGTTAGAAAATGAGAACTCTTCTTCCTTCAGATGCACAAAAGGTGAATAGGTGAATAGGGCCACTATTATAGGGAGATATCTGATCCAAAATAATAAACATCCATTAATCTAATTTGACTTGTTTAGATTATCATCTGCCTCACACTAAGATATCTTTTAAGCATATCCGTTGAACAAATGATCTGAAAACCCCAAAAAGCAATGGAACATTGAAACAATTTGGAGAAATTTATTAATTTTTTTGACTTATTCAACAAATATTTATTGAGTACTTTGTTAGCACTAAAGTAAAGAAGAAACAAATATGGCACAGTGTAAATGGGCATCCAGATAAATTATCAGGCATTCAAAATGTCCATGATACTGTTCTAATAAGGGTAAAGGGAGGAGGCTGTGGAGAGATACGGAGAATCCTTAGCATACTTTTTCTTGACTTTCCAAGGAAAATTAAATAATGGTATCAGGTAAAATTGGATGTGTGAAGGGATTTTGCAACATGTTATGAAGTTTGGATTTTATTCTGAGAGCACTGGGAGAGACTTCGAAGAATTTATAGGAAAATCATGATAAAATCAGTGTGCATTTTAAATAGATCCATCTAGCTGTAGTATCAGAGAAAGATGGGAAAGAAGGAGAGACATCAGCACCACCAGTTAGAAGATGGGAAACAACAGTGACTTGTTTCTAATAGTGGCGAAGGACGTTGAGAAGTAAATGGGACTCAAGGGATATAGGATTGATTGGATGTGGTAGGAGAAAGGAGATCAGGAAGATGTCCAGGTTTCTGGTGTAGACAACTGTGAGTGGATGATTAGTTGTGCCACGCACTGTGATTGAAAGAATAAGAAGAGCAATGAGTTTGCAAAAGAGACAATTTCACATTTCCTTTAAAACATGTTGGATTTGAGATATGTCCATCCATACGCAATAAATATTTGGATAAATTTTTCTACTTCTCAAAAAGAAGTGCAGAAAATAAAGACTTAGAAGTCATTACTATATAGGGTGAAGTTATATTCCTGCACAGTGAAGGAGAGCACCCATATGGAATGAGGAAATGGCCTAGAACAGAATGTGGAAGCTGAATCATTTAAAGAATCCAAAAACAAGGAGTATTTATTGATTGGTATTGATAAGTTTGTTTTGTTTTGTTTTGTTTTTTTCAAAATGAACTACGGGCTTACAACATATATAAACAAATGCAAAACTATTTGAATAAACATTAAATCTTATGGGTTCTAAAAATTGTGTTTTAATCATCTAATTTTCTTCTAAATTTAATCATGGATAATTAAATGGATCAAAGGAGAATATCAATATCTTTTGATATTTATAAATTTTATATTGTAGGAGTAAAATGCTATTTGCAATCTTTGATTAAAGTATCCTATTTTATATAAAATAAAACATTTAATTATACTAAATACTTTCAAACTTGATCAAAGTTTTACTATAAATATTCATGACTGAACCAATTTAATTTCTCACCAAAAAGAAAAAAATGGCTTGGAATATTTGTTTTCATGGAATAGAAAAAAAAATCTTTGAAAGTGATTTAGAATTCACTAGAGAGTGAAGCTTTTAAGGGAAATCAAAATTGTGCTTCAAATTAAGTGTTGTTATTTGTTACTTTTAAGGTGTTTGGAATTTAAACGCACAAAAGGGGAAAAATATACAACTTCATTTTCAAGAATTTGACTTAGAAAATATTGTAGATGTAGTTGAAATCAGAGATGGAGGAGAAGATGATTCCTTGCTCTTAGGTAAGTCTGCAATTTGAATATTGTGACGGTTGTATAGCTCGAGATGTTGCACTGATATAACATTTCTCAATAAATGTAATCACTCTTCTACAACTACCAAATTGAAAATACCACAGTAGGGTAACATGAGTTTATGTGGAGCCTTCAATATGGGGTATGTTTGCAGTAGTGACAAAGTAATATACTTCTTGGGCATTCTTGGTAAAGAAGGAATAATATTTTGGACTTATCCATTCTTACCAGCTGTTATTAATTGCCTAAGACAAGCACTTACCTTGGAGACTAATAGCTGAGGATACCTAGTGTGCAGTTCTCTATGCATCGTGTGTACATCAGATGTCCAAAGATAGCTATTCAATTAGCTATTTTGTTTCACTTCAAACTATACAAATTGTGTTTGTTACAGTAAAGTTTTCAAAGGATTTTTATTTTACATTTTATTATTATTTGATTGGCTGTCTCTAGTACTAGCTGCTACTATATAGGTGTCTAAGAATGAGTCAAAAATTGGCCAAAGTTGATTTTCCCTATCACTTATTGATTATTAATATTTTAATAAGCATGAAGGGAATGTACTATTATACAGGAAATTTTTGTGCCTGGATCATAAAGTACATTTTGATGCATTAAAAAGCTATTAGTCAAACATAATAGCTGATATCTTATTTAACTGCTACTAATTTTTAAGAAAGAAGTATCTCTTGGTAAATTACACATTACGTTATAAAGATGCTTAAAGGATCAGCTGGCATGAATGAGCACATTTTATGACTAAAAGTGTTTTATCTAATTCTGCTTTAAACTCCTATTAATCATTTATTATAAACATCTTGATAGCTATGCAATCAAGATGCAATCCTATGAACACTGCAACCAATGGATGTAGACTTCAGAGAAAACTTCTCAGGCACATGGAGGGGGAGGAGGGCAAAGAGGGTTCCCCAGCTGTATAATACATCAGTCCTTTTATGTAGAGTTCTTCAGCAAAATCCCACAAAGCCCACAGTGCAAGCTTCTTGGGAGAAGATTTTTGAGAGTCACACACAAAACAAATAAACAACCAAAGTCTTGGTGGGACTAGGAGGCCAGCAAGAACAGAGGAATTTCAAACTGCTTTTTGTATACACATTTTTAAACACATTTGGAGTAGTTTTCCCATTATCAGATCAAATTGTCCTAATAGAAACTTTAGAATTCTCATAATCAAAGAAAAATAACAAAATTGTCATTCTACCTCGTAATACTTGCATAAATATTGAAAAGTAAAGATGAATTCTAGAAGGATCTTAGAATTACAGTTTTCAAATTTGTAGGCAGGGAGCTCTTTTGAAACAGAATTGCTTTCTGGGCTTCTCATATGTAAAATATTTAAAAAGAAGAATGCATTTGTTTTTGATGGGGCAGCGTCTCCCTCTGTTGCCACCTGGGCTAGAGTGTAGTGGCATCATTATAGCTCACTGCAACTTTAGTTCCTGGGCTCAAGTGATCCTCCTCCCTCAGCCTTCCAAGTAGCTGGGAATATAGGTGTGCACCACCATGCCCAGCTAATTTTTCTAATTTTTGTAGCGATGGGATCTTGCTTTTGCTTAGGCTGGTCTGGAACTCCTGACTTCAAGTAATCCTCCCACCTAGACCTCCCAAAGTGCTAGGATTACAGGCATGAACCACTGTACCCAGCCTGAATGTATTTTTTAATTAGCTGAAGTATTGTTTAATAAAGAGTATTTCATTGTTTATGAAATCCCCAAGCCCAGAGATTAGTGGTAAAACATTTGAAAACCACCTTGTAGGTTTATATTATCTATCTCTAATTAATACATCCTTCAGATTAGGTTTATGATTCAACTAACAAAGCATGCCAAATAAATTTGGTCAAAAATTTATAAAGGAGGCTATAATCTCCATTGTTTTCTTAATATAAAGGTTTGAAAAGTAATCAGTTATTTCTCTGAGATAACATGACCCTTGAATAGTAGTGGTGCTAAGCCAGATAATACTATGAATAATTCATTATTAAGTTACAGAACTGCAGAAACTACAGGTAATATAAAAAGAAGATCAATACAGAAGTTTTCTTTGTTGAAGCAGTGTCAAAATGCAAAAGAATGTACACATTTATTTACTTGTGACTGCTTCATGAGCAAGCCATGCAGCGAGCAGCCCTACATCTGGAAGATGAAACTGAAATAAGGGGTATATTTCCTTGTAAATTCAAGAGATCATCTCGCTGATTATTTAATTTTCCTTTGGAACAGCTGTGTACACAGGGCCTGGTCCAGTAAAGGATGTGTTCTCTACCACCAATAGAATGACTGTGCTTTTAATCACTGACAGCAGTTTGGCAAGAGGAGGGTTTAAAGCAAACTTTACTACTGGCTATAATTTGGGTATTCCAGGTAAGAGCCTCAAGATCACGCATTGTACAATAACTTTTCTAAGAAAACAATAAAAGTGAACAGGTTTCAAGGTGTAAACCATGATTTCAATGTTTGCATTCTTGCTCATCTTAATGAAGATTTTCTTTCTTCATATATACACACACACACATATATATATATATATATATACACACACATTGCCTAAGTATGTTCAAAGCTGGAATGCACAATAGTTTCCAGCAAATCTAGTCATACTTCTCTGATGTGTAGAGAGTCTTCAATTTTTTCCTCTGAAGAGGGCTGCATTAAACATTAAATTGGGCCATTTGGCCCCATAAGGAAGGAAGACGTCTGTCATGTTAACTTTGCCAAGAACATTTTCAGAGAGCAAAGGGGGAAACAGGCAAATGAGCTGTTGGAATGCTGACAACATTCAACTAAAAAATTAACATCATTAACTTATTAGAGACAACCAGTGTAAAGCACAAAAATAAAGGAATTTAATGCTATTTGCTAGCATGCACAACCTTCTCACCCATATGTTTTATTGTATCTATAATATAATCAGCAGGAACAAACAAAATAGTGGCCTGCTCATCATGGGATATGTATATGTGTGTGTGTGTGTGTATTTCTTTATATTCATGTATATAGGGTATATCTTTTTCACTCAGAAATCTACAGAGAAATTTTTAAAAACTTGCTTCTCTGCTCAGACTCTGATTTTTTTTATACTACTGCCCCACATCTCAGTGGTTCTTTCTAGATGCAAATATGTCAGAAGGACAGAATACATGTTACCTCCTACATCTCTCTTTCCTTTACATAGGAATATCTATGGAATAGATGTCTTTCATTGGAATATTTAGAAAAGATGTAGGGTTGGATGATTGGTCCTCATCTGTCCTATTATCTAATTCTAAATCCAATTGTGCAATTAAGTAATGTTTATATCTGTTCCCCTACTCACAACTGGCCTAGACCTTTTGACTCCGTCCCAGATAGCTATCTGTTTTCAGCTTTATGGAAAATAAGGAAGTTAACCTGCATCTGGTCTACCCCTGGCTCTGAAAATAAGCCAAAATTTTTATTATCCATGCTACTTAGGTAGAACTGAGTGGTAGCCCAATGAACTAATCTTCCCTTCTGCATTTTGTGATTGGTGTTAGAAGCCTATCTTTTGACTTACAAGCAACAGTGACACGGACCAACCAACTAGAATCAATTAGTGAATTAAACAAATAAAAATGTTAATATCTATGAAAAATATATAACATAAAAGACAAGAAAAAAAGACTTTGCTATCTATAGAAAATTAGAATTTATCTTATATGAAAAAGGAGAAATATAGAAAATGACATGATTTTTTAGGTAGTAAGAAAATGCATTGACATGAAAATATCAACAAATATGTATTTATGTAAATATGTGTGTGTACATTTATGTGCGTATGTGTGCAATCATAATTTAACACAGAAGAAAATTAAATCATTATTCTGGAAAATTTTAATCAAGATAATTTTGAAAATGTCATTTTGAATTAAGTCACCAATTCTGTTCCTGGATAATTTTGTTGCTGCTAGTTATAGCCATGTTTGTCTCTCAATATTTTATCTACTATTTCAGTTTCTTTCTCTTTGTGATGTTCCTATTATTTTAATTTTAATTTAACTCAACATTTGATTTAACTTATATTGATCATTTTTTTTCTGATGATACTTTTAAAGCATAGATGGACACAGATTATGAAATTTTGGTAGTTAATGTTTAACACTTTTAAGATAAAACAGACTTTGGGGCCAGGCGCGGTGGCTCACGCCTGTAATCCTAGCACTCTGGGAGGCCAAGGATTGCTCGAGGTCAGGAGTTCGAGACCAGCCTGAGCAAGAGCGAGACCCCGTCTCTACTATAAATAGAAAGAACTTAATTGGCCAACTAATATATATAGAAAAAACTAGCCAGGTATGGTGGCGCATGCCTGTAGTCCCAGCTACTTGGGAGGCTGAGGCAGGAGGATCCCTTGAGCCCAGGAGTTTGAGGTTGCTGTGAGCGAAGTTGATGCCATGGCACTCACTCTAGCCTGGGCAACAAAGCGAGACTCTGTCTCAAAAAAAAAAAAAACAAAAAAAAAAACAGACTTTGGATGTGTATTGTTTGATAAAAGCTAATTGCTCCTTATAGTTACACAGAAAGCAAATTAGTTAATCAGAAATATTGAGTAACAGAAAAAAACACAAAATGGTTTCATGATTATTTTTATACTTGATATTATGACTCTAATTTTTTAAAATTAATATGTAATTTTTAGCTCCTGGTAGAATAGTCCTTGCTCAGCACCTGCTCCAGTAAGTGACATTGCAACATGATCTCCTCCCAGGAAATTTGGAAAATAATGACCATCTTTGGCAAGAGCAATTTTCTGTAAAATGTTGCCATAATCAGATTATTCTTTCTGATTTGATTAGAGGTATTTATTAATAATGTGAACCACATAGTTTTCTGGTCAATTGCATAACTGTTCAAAAATTCTGGTGCCAAAACACCCTCATTTACACAAAAATTGCTGCAGAAAAGCATGATGAAGAATGCAAAAACAATAGATAAAGAAATGGAAAAATGTAAAAATCTGTGATTGGTATGCTGGAAAGAACACCAAACCACACTGAAAGCAATACATATTCTCAGAGGAAAAATACAGAGGAAAAGTAACAATGAAAGTTACTGTGAAACTTCTATAGTTTCTCAAACTGATTAAAATTATCTGTAAAATCATGGTCTTACTATGTTCTACAAAAAATTAATCAGCAAGAATCAGTGTTATGAACATTTCTTATGTAAAGTTTTAAATTTGAAGAGGAAAGTTTTTCTGCACATTCCTAAACAGAATAAATATAATTATTTTTCAAAAGTGTTAACAATAAGATCAGCTTTATATTTCACTCATTTAATGAATGCTAAAAATAGTGGAGTGGGTTGGGCATAGTGGCTCATACCTATAATCTCAGCACTTTGGGAGGCTGAGATGGGAGGATTCCTTCAGGCCAGGAGTCCAAGCAAGAGTAGCCTGAGCAACATAGTGAGACACCATCTCTACAAAAAAATTTTTTTTAAATTAGCCCAGTGTTGTCACACGTGCTTGTAGTCTCAGCTACTTGGCAGGCTGAGGTGGGAGGATTGCATGAGCCCAGAAGCTTGATGTTATAGTGAACTAGGATCACCCCATTGACTGCATGCCAGCCCGGGTGATAATGTAAGCCTCCATCTCTTAAACGAAACAAAACAAAACAAAACAAAGAAACGATATTTCTAAGGTTTTAAACATTTTATCATTTCTTTGTGTTGGAAACATTCCAAATCTTCTCTTCTAGTTCTTTTGAAATATACAGTAAATCATTGGTAACCATTATCACTTTAATGTGCTGTCAAACACTGGATTTTATTCCTTCTAACTGTACTTTAATACCCATTAACCAACCTTTTTTTTATCTCCCCTTCCCCACACCCCTTCCCAGACCACCATTCTATTCACTATCTCCAAGAGGTCAATTTTCATAAATTCTCACATATGAATGAAAATGTGTGACATTTGTTTTCCTGTGCCTGGCTTATTTCATTTAACATAATTTCCTCCAGTTCCATGCACATTGTTTCAAATAACAAGATTTCATTCCTTTTTAATATTGGAATAATATTCCATTGTGGATATGTACCACATTTTCTTTATCCATTTATCCATTGATGGACACTTGAGTTGATTCCATATCCTGACTATTGTGAATAGTGCTGCAATAAATATGCAAGTGCAGATATCTTTTTAATATACTGATTCCCTTTCTTTTGGATATATATCCAGCAGTGGTATTGCTGTATCATATGGTAGTTTCACTTTTAGTTTTTTTGAGAAAACCTCTGTATAGTTTTCCATAGTGGTGGTACTATTTTACATTCCCACCAACAGTGTACTACTGTGCCCTTTTCTCTGCATCCTTGCCATCATTTGTTATTTTCTGTTTCATAATTTTATAATGAAACAAATACACCATTAAACATTTTGAAAAATATTTCAAGCAATTTTTATTCAAGATAAAACCCCAAAGAAGCATAATCTATTGCTCTTAGCACAAAAGAGATACCAAGGTGGGTTTTTTAAAGAGAAAATTCCCCTGATTGAACTTGAAATGGAGTCTTCCATAACCAACACTCTGGTGAATATGCTGGGAGAGTAGTTTCACATTCCTCTTAGACATGAGACAGATGCTGCTGGGGAGTGAAAAATGGGGTGACTGAGTTGTCATCAGCACAATCTTCTTCCATCAAGATTTTTTAGACAAAAAGACTGAAAACCACTTACAGAAACAGGAATTTGGTAGTGGAAGATAATCAAGCTAGGGGTAAGAGAAACAGAGTGGGCACACATATCTGCTTATTGGTGCTCTGCCTTGGTGATCGTTTTAGAAAAAGATAAAAAACGGGGCATCAAAATTGGTTTTGGAATATATGTGCTTTGCTTATCTTCTGAGATATTTCAGGGACACCTGCCAAGGCATTCAATTTAAATATAACATAATCGTATAGTGTATTTTTATATCTCCTTTTCTTTGTCCTGTTCTTAACATTTCCATTTCCATTGAACTAGAGTATATGTGATATAGACATATTAAGATCTGTCTCCTATAAGTGTCCCCACATTGCTCTTTTCTGATACTCTGAGTCTTACCATGGAATTCAATAGTGCTTATCAGGCAACTGTGGAAGTGGCAGCTGATTACATTTAGGGGTTTAGAGCCCTCCCCAGATTGTATGGCATGTGCCTTAGAGATCAATTTAGTTCCATTTAAAACCAAGCATATGTTGACTAAATGAGGCAGGGCTTTTGGAAACTTCATAAAAAGGAGATGGGGAAATTCAATTCTTAGCAATATTTCTTTTCTCTCTCTCACTGTGGGCATAAAACTATCAGAAATAAGATTTCAGAGTCCAGAGAGAGTTAAACTGTTAGATTAAAGACTTCTTAATGAAGCTGAACTGCTATATGATGCAAAGAATCAGAATTCAGTTTATGCATGTAAGGAATATTTTGTAAAAGCTTGTTTACACCTCTCCTCAGCTTTTATAATTTCTACTCAGTTCAAAACAATATATCAATTTTCTCCATTCTACCTTTTTTAATTCAATTCATTCAGCTTGCAGAAACAAGTTATTTTTTCTGGAAGCATAGACTATAACCTTAATAGCTTTGGCTAGAGCAAAGTAAAGAATTACAGTTTTCATATACTTATACATGTTTTTGTTCAAATTTTTGTTCATATATTTAAATTTGTTTCCATTCAGCTAGTATGTGCTTTTCCAATTAAATATAGGCTAACTACATTAGTAAGAGTACAATTATCAATAAATTTATCTATGATTAAATTATTGTCATTGAGAACTCATTTTTACATAATGATTTTAAGAAGCTATGAAAAAAAGCAATGAGATAATTTAAAAATAACTGGTGCTGACTAACATTCTATAAGCATGTTAAGGGATTTAATCATGGACTTGGAATTAGTGCTGTCAACTTTTTAAATAAATATAATATATACTAAAGTATATATTTAAAACAATATGTGAATACAAATACCTGCGTACCTAGTTTTAAGCCTTCCTGTTTCTAAAGGTAAATGAATACCTAAAACATACAGTATAAAGTCAGTTAAAATATTATAGCTTACATGTAGAATACACAATTGTCTTGGCCCATTTGTCATGTCACTAATCTGATTAAAATATATGTGTTTGTGAAACAAATTGATAATTACATTTTACAAGAACCTTGCTAATAGTATTATATTTTGATATATGTAATGTACTTCTCTCATGATATAAAGGTCTATATAAACAACCATGCCTCCTTAAAATATTTTCTTATTAAGATAACTTAGGTTTGGGTTGAAAAATATACAATTTTTTAAAGTATAGGAAAATATATAAGTAACTTCAATTATTATTGTAAAATACCAAAAAGAAAGGATTAGGCATGTTTTCTTGTTTATCTGGTTATTTGAAAGGGAAAGTAGCACAGCTAGCACATGAAGTAAGAATGTTAACTTAAAAATATCAGTGAAAAAGATGATTTTTCAGTGTTACTATTTTTGCTGTTAAGAATATTATCTATTAGGCATTCACTGTCTGCATATTAGTATAATAAATACATGTCATTATTTTTTTACATTTATTTTCATGATACACCAAAGACAAAAGTAGTAATTATTCCCATTTGACAATCAAGAAAGCTAAATCACAGAATGATTAATTTATTTGCCCAAGGTCAAAAAAGTCACAAAGGAAAATGGCTAAATTGAGGCACAAATCAAGGTCATATGACTCCAAGGTCATATGCCCATAAACTTAGAAAAATAAACCATCTCCTGTAAAATCTTTTACTATATTTCATTTTAGTCTGATATTTTTTAAAAAGTGTGTAGCGAAATCAATGCTTTGGGTTCTGACCAGCATTCCTTGTTATGGAATGAATGGAATTGGATGAAATGTGATGGAATGGCATGGAATGGAATGGCATGGCATGGCATGGCATGGCATGGCATGACATGGCATGGCATGGCATGGCATAGCATAGCATAGCATAGAATTAATAGAACAGAATAAGGGTAAATTTTAATTTAGCTATAAACATGCACTCTAGCGTACACGCGCGCACACACACACACACACACACACTGGTGTGTGTCCTAGAGTTTATGATTTAAAATATATTTCATACTAAAGTCAGAGTTTTAAAAAATGTGGAAGCCCCTGTCCTAGTCCCATGAAAGCACTAGCCCTTGTAGTTCTGCTGTGTACTAAACTTTCAGCTGGGGAATGGGATGCTAACTTCACTCCTTTGAGGCAACCCAATATGAACTGGTTCTCTTAAGGCACCTCACACTTGGATTGCTCCCCTACTTTCCTGCATGAAAACACTGTCCCCTCAGAAACTGTATTTAATCTTTTAATAGAACAAACTCTAATGACCCCTTTTTATAATAGCTGAAATAAGTGATGGCCATTGATGGCTGCTGAACCAGATTTGATATTTCTAATAAGGATAATATTTAGTACCTCTTTAGAGTGTAACAGTATTTATCAGTGCTCTCAGATCTGGGTCTACAACCTAGATTCTAAAACAACAGGAATGAAAGTACTTTTACATTTGATCAATATAAATTGAAAAAGTCTCCTTGGAGATTTTTGCAATTTGTTTTTAAAATCATTTTAACTTGAATTGTGTCTCCTTGAAAGCAAATAATAGTTATATTATTATCTTAATATTTTATAATAGTTTTCAAAATAGAAGTTTCCCTGTTCCCTATTTTTATCGAGTGCTTTTTCTTGCCGATTATGATTGTTCATGTGCCTCGCAGGGGATAAGACACTAAGCCTCTCCATACCCCACCACCGGCTCCATTCTCAGGGGACCCAAATCTCATGTGGTCCTCAGCAGATTTCCTAGTATCCTTCCAGCAAGTAGCTGTCTTTCCTGACCCATAATCTCTTTCCCAGTGATATGGGGACTCTCCCAGGATAAAACTTTTTAAGAACAAACAGTTCCAGGGAGCAACACCACCTACTTCCTCTAAACAATGAATATTTCTATTAGGCTTCTTTATGCACAACTCAAACTCTTGAAACAACCACCAACAAATGGCCTCCATATCTCCTCAGCCCCCAGTCTTTTCATTTTCCTTTTGTTTCTCCATGTGCCAAATGCATTCCCATATCTTCGACACTGCTTCACTTGCTTGGAGTTCCATCCCCAAATTCCTTTAACATTATTTATTATTTCCTATTGTAAATTATCCATTTCTTTGTGAGAATTTTTTCCCACCCAACCAAACTTTAAATGAACCCTCTGTTTCCAACCAAGTCCAAACTTGGTCTCACAAAAAGACAACTTCTGCATTTCTTTACTTTAGAGGTTTGGAACTATCCTTTGAAAGGAGAAGCCAGGGAATCTCTCTTTGGTTAACATTTCAAGGATTGTTGTTTGTATGTTCATTTTGTTGTTTGTCCGTTCGTGCGTGGAGGAGTTTATTGAAGAACAGAGTTATGAGAGAGAGAATTATGAGGGAGAGGTGTGTCCCAAACCTCTCAGTCATCTCCTGGAATTGCCCAAGCTCTGCTGCAAAGGAGATGCCTGAGGCTTCATCCACACTCCTCCCGAGGCACACCCTGGCTTCGACACAATTTCTGAGCTTTTCTAAACAGCTAAGTGGATGGTGTTACTCAATATCAGAGCTGGCTCCACCATGTGCTATGGCAAAGGGGCATAAATGGTATCTGTCCTCCAGAATCATGTTTTTGCAATTTGTCTATCCTGTAAAATAAACATTCTTTCCCCACAGAGCCCTGCAAGGAAGACAATTTTCAGTGTGAAAACGGAGAGTGTGTTCCGCTGGTGAATCTCTGTGACGGTCACCCACACTGCAAGGATGGCTCAGATGAAGCACATTGTGGTATGTCTTATTTTTAGGAAAATACTTTTTGTTACTTCAGACTCTACATTTGGATCCTACAAGTGTGAAAGAAAGTTTATGAGGACATATTTTGATGCTTTGAGATATGAACATTTTTCAGTGGTTTTAGCCCCACTGTCCCCATCTAATTAGGAGAAACGTTAGCTTGCAAGCTGTGGGTCTTGTTTGTTTGTTTAAGTTTGTCTATATTTAATAGCTGTAAGTCTGGAGCAACCTGTCTTCAGATAGGAAGTAAAAGTACCACAGAGACAATAGTCCAAAGCAGGCACTGTAGCACCCTCATAGTGGCCACAGTTCATTGCCTACATTCAGAAGCCCCTGCATGCTTACTTATAACTGACTTTCTCCTGCTCTGCTGTGTTTTCAATCCTTCCACCACTCCTTCCAGACCTCAGTAACATTATGAGCAATGGACACTTTACTATGTATTGTTTTTATTTTTAAGCAAATATTTAATACGTAATATGTGTCATGCTCTGTAAATAAGTGCTGTAAAAAATAATCCTCTAATAAAAATTAGCTCTGTTTTTGCCACGAGGAAACTGAGGCTCAGAGAAGTTAAGTGGCTGCCAAAAATCACACACCTACTAAAGGCCAGAGCTGAGTTTTGAAGCTAAGTCTTTCTAATTCTAAAGTCAATTCTCTTAACTCTTACTATAATAGAGGAAAAATGTAAGCACTGACATTATTGTATAGAATTACAATATTATATTTCTAAGTAAGACTACCGTTGCTGATGTTTTCCTTTTTTTGACAAACTAGCTTAGCTTGGTCCAATCCTTATCCAGCTACTAATAGTCTTAATGTTCTGTCCAAAATGGCTGTAAGATGGTGAGGAAGATGGTAGAAATCAAAAAGCATAAGAGCAAGAGCAAAGCAAATACTTTCTGAAGAAGAAACTGGGGTGATGGTGATGGTGGGGGGAAATACCTAAAGTTGTTCCTGAATTTGAGTTTTCCTTCTTTTAAAAACTAAGGTTGTAAGATACATTCCTTACAAATAACTCTATTTTCTATTTATTTGCTGTGTTGATATGCAGTGAACTTGCATATCTCTGCCACTCCCAGTTGTACGGCTATATGAAAGACCAAAATTAAGTCTACCAAATTTGTATTTTTCAACTTAGACCTTCTAACATACTCTTAAGAAAAACTATAATCAATCTCTAAACTCTAAATGTTATGAACATTGCACGTTTAATTTAGAGACCATCATTTACTCTCACCAAATTTAGGTCAATTGGTTAGAGTTAATGACTCTGTGTCCAATCTTATCTATTTAATGTGTCTTTGTTTTATGTTAGTTTTTTTAAAAAACATTATTGTAAATTGATAAGTTATAATTGTGCATTATTTATGGGGTACAAAGTGATGTTATGACATATGTATACAATGTAGAGTGATTAAATCAAGCTAATTCGCCTATCCATCACCTCAAATACTTATTTTCTGTGGTGAGAAAATTTAATATTTTGGCATTTTGAAATCTATAATACATATTATAAATAAAAATCACAATGCTGTGCAATAAATCCCCCAAAAACTTATTCCTCCTGTCTAACTAGAACTTTATACCCTTTGACCAACATCCCCCATTTTCCCTACCTTCCAGTCTCATAACCACCCTTCTGCTTTCTGTGTCTTTAGTGCGCCTCTTCAATGGCACAATGTACAACAATGGCTTGGTGCAGTTCAGAATCCAGAGTATATGGCATACAGCTTGCGCTGAGAACTGGACCACTCAGATTTCAAATGATGTTTGTCAGCTAATGGGACTAGGGTAAGTAATTCTTCTCAGCTCTCTTTTAAAAGATGCTCTTATGTTTCCATTAATATCAAAATGAATTTATTAAGAAATTTTAAAATAATAAAAGTCTAATAATTTAGAAAATACACATGAGCAAAAGGAAGAAAATAAAACATCTTTATTAATACCATTCTCAAATAATAACCACTGTTTATAGCCTTTTTGTAAATATTATATAAATATAATTATATATAAATATTATATGAACATAAAATATTATGCTCTGTTGTATAGCCTACTTATACCTAAGCAGTTCTCATGTTTTTATATATTTTTCTAGTTAATAGAAAATTTTTTAATAAAAATTTTATATATTTTTTCTAGTTAATTTTAAGAAAATGAGATGATCCATTTTATACTATCTCATTATACATGCAACTAATCACAAAGGTACTGCAGAGAATATGCCTTTTCTATATCTTTGCAATATGTTTATGACAATTCTTTTGGAAAATTTACAGTTCAATTATTGTGAGAAAGGTTGTGCAAAATTTGAAGACTTTCCCAAGAAGGATAATAGAAGTGAAAATTCCAGTTAATAATGTACCAAAAATTTATTATATCTCCCAGTCTAATGGCATAATATACTGCTTCAAATATTTAAGCTCAACATATTCATTTTTTACCTTCCTATCAGTCTTAAAAGTAGTGAGGTTGAAAAATGACAGGTAATAAGCAGTGATAACAACTTCTTTTGCATTGTACAACCTGTCAACTCTAACCCACCATTCTGATCTTTGGGTATACATGATCTTGAAGATTTGGCAATTCTTCACTATGCTGAGTCACATGTGGTTATTTTTATCAATTACAGCATTGTATTATTTAACAGTTTGTCATATTAAACTATGATGTCTATAAGGTAAGAACCATGTCTATTTTATACATTATTGTAATACTAACATCTAGACTAATCATTATCTAAAATATAAGTGCCAAATAAATATTTGGTAAAGGAATAAATTATTCATTATATATCAAATATAGATATACTTAGCCATCTAAATGTATGTCAGTAAGTGTTATCCAATTATAAGTCATTAGCATTTTATTTCTCTCCTGAACTAATGACTGATTTTCTAATTTATTCTAAAAGGTATACAGTTACAAAGAAAAATAATTCAAGTACAACTACACACATACCCGCAACATTTGGTAGTTGTTTCAACTATTCTTAATTCATCAAAATCAAACGTAATTAATTGTTTTCCCTATAAGGGACTCTTCTTTCTAACTGACTACTAGTTCATGTAACAAAGTCTTTGTGCTACAAACAATTTTCAAAAGTTGTTTTAAATGTTTTTTTTTTTTTTGGACCCAAAACATATTTTCACTAGAAATAATGTTACATGCAGTATTTAGGTCTCCAGCCCAGTCCATAAAAGCCATTCAATTTCTACTAGACCAGTAGAATTACAGTGTATACAAATGCCAAGATAGTATACAACCACCACTTATAGATATTTTATCATGTGAAAATGTGTTGAGGTCCCCCTCAGAGTGTTGGGAATGCCCCCTAATGTCCTTATTTTAAATTGATGAATAATATTAATTATTGTCCATATTTATGGAGTACATAGTGATATTTCAATAAATACAATGTGTAGTAATCACATAAAGGTACTTAGCATATCCATCACCTCAAATAGTTATCATTTCTTAGGTTGGAAACATTCAAAATCTTCAATTCTAGCCATTTAAAAATGTATAATAAATTACTGTTAACTAAAGTCACACTACAATACTATAGAACACTAGAACTAATTCCTCCTATCTAGCTGTAATTTTGTATCCTTTACCAACCTCTCCCTATCCTTTTTATCCTTCCAATACTTCCCAGACTCTGGTAACCACGATTCTACTCTCTACTTTTCTATGAGATGACCTTTTTTAGCTTCCCTATATGAATGATAATATGCAGTATTTTCTGTGCCTGTCTTATTTCACTTAACATAATGTTCTCTAAGGTCATCCATGTTGTTGCAAATGTAGGATTTCACTTTCTGTGACTGAATAGTATTCCCTTGTGTATATAAACCACATTTTCTTCATCTACTTATCTGTCGATGGACACTTAGATTGATTCCATATCTTGGCTATTATAAATAGTGCTGCAATATACATGGGAGTACAGATATCTCTCCCACATACTGGTTTCCCTTTCTTTGAATAAGTACTCACTGGGACTTTTGCAATTTTTTGAGGAACCTACATCCTGTTTTCCAAAATGGCTATACTAACATACATTCCAACAGCATATATGAGTTCCCTTTTCTCTGCATCCCTGCCAGCATTTGTTATTTTTTGCTTTTTTGTTAATAGCCATTCTATCTGTGGTTATATCTCATTGTGGTTATAGTCTGCATTTCACTAATTTCAAATATTTTTTGGCCATTTGTATGTCTTCCTTTGATATAATTTTCCCATTTTTAATCAGATTTTTTTTTTTTTTGCTGCCAAGTTGTTTGAGCTCCGTATATATTCTGAATGTTAATGCTATGTCAGTTGAATAGTTTGCAAATATTTTCTACCATTCTGTAGGTAGGTTGTCTTTCTAAATTGTTGATTGTTTCTTTTGCTGTGCAGAAGTTTTTTAGTTTAAGAAAATGTGTGTTTGTGTGTGTGTAATCTTTTTTATTATACATTATAGACTTTAACAAAATCTCTTTCAACATGGGGAATTTTCAGGCATAAATAATCTTGAAAGAGGGCAGCTTGTAAAACAAATAATGTTTTTTTGTTAAAGACTCAAATAAACTTAAAACTGACAGGTGTTTATTTATTCCCACTTCAAGCAAAACACAGGGCAAGTGACATTGATTCCATGTTCCTAGTTTAATGTTGATTTTATTTCAATAGAGAATTCAGAGAGGTGAGTTCCTAGGATGCCCTTTGCTTCAACTGCCAAAGTTTCCCATAATGCTGAGGAACTGTTTGTAGACTTGGAAACTTACTTTGTAAAGATTGAGCTAAGGAGATTGGTAACTTGACCTTATTTCCACAGTTGATGCATCTGAATGTCCTGGGTGATTGACCTTCAACTGCCTAGGAGCTTTGTGTCCCAATTCACCACCTTTCTCAGCATCACCATATGACTATAAACATAGCAGTTCTTTTCACTGTGGTTCGTGAATCTTAACAGAATTACTTCCTGAAGGATATATGGAGTTAAGATGAGTCATTTAAAAAAATGTCAAAATGATTAACACCTTCCTTTGACAGTTTTTTTTAATGAATTTGAATGAAATATGGTGAGTGTGAGCATAATGCTGATTCTTACAGTTGCATGGCAGAATACATTGGAAAGGAAACATTTCCTTTATTACATTTTAACAGTATATAATATAAATATATGATTTTGATTACTCCTGGATCAGAAATCTAAGCATTAGTGATGATATTGTGTCTGTTCTATGGATAAATAAGTCATATTTTTTGCTTTAAATGCTTATGTGGTGGGACTAGACACATAAATAGATAATTACAATATAATGTGGAAAACACAATGTGCTATAGGAGAACTTAACTTAATTTGGGCATGTCAGGGAAGACTTTCTAGAAAAGAACCTGAGCTGAATGGATGATAGCCAATTCCACATACTGTGTACTGTTTATTTACATGTGTTTTTTTTTTTTTTTCTCCCAGCCAGATTTTACTCTTTAGTTCACTGACCTCATTTCCTATGAATCACAGTCCTTCCATCTGGAGACAGGGACAAAGAACTAGCTTTTTTTAGTGTGTGTAAAGCAAGTATTGCATCTCACTGCCTCAGATGCAATATTTTTGATGAAGGTCAGGCGCTTGCTTTCTTCAGAAATGAGTCAGGTAATCTCTACAAAGACTTTAATCTTTGAGCCTGTGCTTATTAAATAGTCTCCATAGTGCTGTAGTAATTGAAAGAAAGTTATAGCCTTAATGAGAATTTGTCTAGACTGGTGCATGGTAACTGAAAGAAAACTTAGTGAGTTTAAATGATGTGTGTTTGGTACAGTGGAAAGTAATTTAGGAGTCAATTTATTAAAAAGGCACTGTAGTCTCTCAAGATTATTTATGCAGATAGAGTACAAAATGCAATTCCCCACAGATTCTAGTAAATCATACAAGGCCTATTTCATTAGCCTTTCCTTTTTTTATATTAAACATTTTTATTCCCTGCCATTTATAGCAGGCTTAAGTAAAAAGTACTTGGAATAACATTTTCACGTCTTGGGTCAAAGTGTGAAAGAAAATGTTTTATACTGATGCAAGAATAAATGTTAAAGAAACAAAGAATAGTGATTTTTTAAATGATATTTCCCAGGAAAGAGCATGATCCTGTTACTAACCCACTACATAAATGATGCAGGTGAAGTTTTTGTAAAACTTTACAGAATTTAGGAAATACTAATGTCTTAAAAATACAGTTAATTATTTGTGTCTTAATAAGGTTGCTTATGAGGCCAGGCACGGTGGCTCACACCTGTAATCCTAACACTCTGGGAGGCTGAGGCGGGTGGATTGCTCAAGGTCAAGAGTTCAAAACCAGCCTGAGCAAGAGCGAGACCCTGTCTCTACTATAAATAGAAAGAAATTAATTGGCCAACTAATACATATAGAAAAAATCAGCCAGGCATGGTGGCGTATGCCTGTAGTCCCAGCTATTCCGGAGGCTGAGACAGTAGGATCGCTTGAGCCCAGGAGTTTGAGGTTACTGTGAGCTAGGCTGATGCCACGGCACTCACTCTAGCCTGGCAAAAAAAAAAAAAAAAAAAAAAAAAGGTTGCCTATGAGAAATTGGTGTTAAATTTTAAAGCCCATAATAGTACTGTACACAATATCTTCATTTTACATGTCAGAAACATAAAGTTAGGCCTTCTAGTCCCAAACACAAATAAGACATGGAATTACTTCAATGTTCTTCCATTGCAGAGGTATTTTGAAAACATTAGGAGGAAAGGGCAAAGTGGTTTTTTAAATAAATCTTTCAAATAAA